GGCACCGAAAGGTGCACTGGGATGCTGCGAAGAGGGTACTGCGTTACTTGTGCAGCACGTCGGGCATGGGGCTCGTGCTTGGAGGACGGGGTCCAGTTGTTCTCACTGGTCACGCAGACGCTTTTTGGGTTGACGACTTGGCTACGCAGCGGTCGTCACAGGGTTACACTTTCAGCCTTGGCCTTGGCTCTGTTTCTTGGCGGTCTACTCGCTCGTCTTTGGTTCTCAGTTCCAGTTGTGAGGCAGAGATCTACGCCGCGGCCATGGCAGCACTGGAGCTACGCTGGCTCACCTACCTGCTGACTGACTTGGGAGAGCAGCCTCGTTCGCCTCCAGTTCTGTACGTAGACAACAAGGCCATGATTGCCTTGTGTCAGGAGCACATACTGGAGCACCGAACGAAGCACATCGCTCTGCGATACTTCCTTGCTCGAGAGTTGCAGCAGCGTGGCCAGCTTCGTCTTGCGTACGTGGCCACTAGGGCCAACACTGCTGATATATTGACCAAGGCACTTCAGTCTGGTGATCTTCAACGCTTCTCTACTGTTTTAGGCCTTGTGCCTATTTTGCCTCACTTGCTCACTGCGTGACTGCTTGTACTGTGATCTATATATATACCTGCATGCTTACACTTGCTAGGGTATGATCACTGTATTGTTTGTTCTCTTTTATATACCGTAATACCCCGGATAGTAGCGCATATGCGCTTATAATAAATTCATTTTTTTTTAGGGGGGGCGCTTGTAATTGAGTAACGGCCATAAGCGCCGGCGCTTTTATAAAGGCAAAACTGAATTTCAATTTAAAGGATATCATTCTGAAGCCCTCAATATGGCGAATACAACACTGTACCATGCGCGCGGGGTCATGCATGGAATGACAGCGAAACTTGCCACGGTTCGATTTCCCACCGCACAAAACCCGTCCCGATGCAACGCACCTGCCAGCGCTGATGCAAAACCTGCCGTGCGGCCCAATCAGGTTGGCATGCGCTGCTAGGCAGGAGCATCTCGGCAGAACCATCCAGAACGTGATGGAATCTGCCGTGCCAGCGCAGCATGGATCGTGCCCCCAACCCTCCTCTGCGGGTTGGGGTAGGGGTGTACTCGTCTCTCATCGACGAGGACCCCGAGCCGCAAACCAGAAGGGGTCCCCTTCAATCTCCCATTTCAACACCCAGGGTTGCAGTTTTTTATTCAGTCTTCTTGTTCACAGGCACTCATTTTCTCTTCAAGAAAAAACCTTCCAGTAGGCCCGCGTACCGCGTTACAGCTGACGGGTGGTATAGCTGCATACCTCCAGACCCTCCAGAGCCACCACAGCCTCTTGCGCCTCCTGCGCCGCCTGCTCCTCCGACTCCTCCAGTGCCTCCGACTCCCCCTGCTCCTCCTGTTCCTCCGTCTCCTCCGTGTCTGGTGGCCCCTCACATCGACAACCACCCCGTGCTCACGCTCCTGCTCCCATTGGCGTTCGACGAGTATCTGTCGGAACTGGATTATGACAAGGGCCCCGATGTTGCCGTACCCGCTCCAGCGCCAGCACCACGTTGGGGCCAGACATAAGATTTCACGTGGGACGAATCTGCAGTCGGCGCTGACGACAACGTGCAAGACGCCGAGGAAGATTGGCGCGCTGAGGGCGACGCCGGCGCCGAGGGTGGCACTGAGGCCGACACCGAGGCTGCTACTGAGGCCGGCACTGCTGAGGATGTGTTTCCCGAGGGTGCGCCGGGCGGTGACGACGACGACGGCGTCGAATACTGGTCACGCGATGGCCTCCCCGAGAAACTCCCGATACCAACTTATCCTCCACGTAATCGAAAGCGACCTCACCCTTCTTCACAGAACCGTGATTCTCGCCCCCCCTCTCCCAGGCACAAGCCCAACGACCACAAGCGCTAGGCCTATACTGCCGCCGTGAAGTTGAAGTGGGTCGCGCAGCTGGATGTGGCGGTGTCGGTGCACGCTCTGGCTCGCGAAAGTGGCATCCACCGCAAGTGCCTCGCCAACTGGAAGCGTGCCGCTGATTTCCTCAAGGAAGCCCACTCTGCCAGGTGCCGCATGCACAGTCGCGGCAGGGCGTCGTGGTACCGCCCGATGGAGATCAAGGTGTATGAGCGACTGCTCGACTAGCGACGCAAGGGAACTGCGGTGTCCGTCGGCCGCCTGCAGGAGTGGTCCCAGGAGTTCATGAAGTTACTCTACCCCCTCGTGAAGTGGAAAGGGAGCCAACGGTGGTCGGACCGGTTCCGTCGGCGGTGGAATCTCAGCGTGCGAATGAAGACGAAGGTTGCCCAGAAAACCGCCGCCCGTAAGAATCATTTTAATTCTCTATGCCATGTGTATGCACTTGTTACTCACTAACCGTAACTGTGCTCAACCGCAGATGTCGCGGAGCAGTGCAAGAAGTTCTGGCAATTCGTCCGTGACAAGCATCGGGAGCGCGGCATCGAGACGACGTGGATTATCAACGCCGACCAGACGCCGCAGTGGCTGGAGATGCCCGCCACCACTACCGTCGATCAAACCGGTGTTCGGTCGGTGCCCATCAGGAGCGCGGGGTACCAGAAGGAGCGCGTGACCGTGATGTTGGCGTGCACGGCGGACGGGATGAAGCTGAAGCCGTGGGTTTTTTTCAATCGGAAGACCGTGCCGAAAGGGGTGTTCCCGCCGGGTTAGTCATGATTCTTGTTTGTATGCGTTTCATCGGTCCTGTTTTTTACGAGAAACTTACAGAAGCTTCTTTGTTATGCAGATGTGGTCGTGGCGTGTCACGAGAACGGCTGGATGGACGCGGAAGGCGTCATACGATGGCTTGAGGAGAGTGTCAAGCCCTTTTTGAAGCCTAGGTTCGGGAGGCATGCACGGAGCTCGATGGTCGTACTGGACTCGTACCGCGGTCACCTCACTGAGGGGGTGAAGGAGAAGTTTCGAGAGCTCAACTGCGTGCCGGCGATCATCCCGTCTGGCTGCACGGCGGAAGTACAGCCCCTCGACGTCTGCATCAACAAGAGCTTTAAGGCGAGCGTCTGCCAGCAGTATCAGAGGTTGTTTCAGGAAGAAGGCCAAGAACAGCTAACCAGAGCAGGTATGATAGGCACGCGAGTCCCTATCTTACCGTAGATGATGGTCCCCCCTTTTGTTGCGCTAACTAAATATTGTATGATTCTGTTGGTACAGGGAACTTGAAGAAGCCACCCCCAGAGGTGGTCGTGAGGTGGATCTCACGGGCCTGGAAAACAGTGCCCGCGGACCTCATCAAGCGCGCCTTCCTCACCTGTGGCATCAGCAACGCGCTTGACGGCAGTGAGGACGGCCTCGCCATGGCGCACAGGCGGAGCCAGCTGACCGCGGAGGTGGACGTCGATGATTCCATCATCGCCGATGGCTTCTTTGGCAACAACTGCCAGGAGCCCGAATCCGACGAGGAGGAGTAGATTTTCTAGGTAGAAATGATAAACTTAGCCATTTCTAGTTTAGTGTCAGTGTTAGTGTGTATAAAAGTGTATGTTGTAGGTGAAAAATTATCATGTTCATGTTTAGTGTTAATTGTTGTTCATATTTCGTAATGAAACCTCCACAACGTGCAAGGGGTGCGCTTATAATAAGTACACCCTCTAGAGGGGGGGCGCTTATAATCGAGTTCCGGCCATAAGCGCCATGCTCCAGATAGAAGCGCCAGCGCTCTTAATCGGACGGCGCCTATAGCCGGGGCCATACGGTAACTCTGCATGTGAACTGGCCTTGTGGCCCTTTGCTTGTGCTCGGACTGTGTGGTGCTTTTGTGATCCACCATGAGCTTGCTTTGCTTTTCTTGACTGGTCTTGTGACCACTTGTTCTCCCCCATTTTGCCTATGGAGGTGTGTCAGAATGTTATACCGCTTACATTTGTGTTGGTCATAGTGGGGAAGCCCATAAAGGGTACAACCCAATTAGGGTTAGTAATTGTACCCAAACTTTTTCGTAGTTCAATCATTCTCGTTCATTCTTCTGACACAGTGCACCTGCGCGATATATCTGGGAGGGTGAGAATACGAAGGATGGTGGTAACACGTTACACTGCGAATGTAAACAAGGCTGATGATTGGTACTCTCGGGATTATTGCCCCTCCAACAAGGCGAAGCTGGAGGTTTCCAAGATGGTGAGGGAATGGATTTGCGATAATCAAGTTCCCCTCAACCCCGCCATTTGGCAGTCACCAAGCGAAGAGTTACCAACCCAAGCTCCAAAACTCAAATAAGCTGTCTGAATAAATTCTGCGTGAAACGAAATCTTGGACTAGCAAGGAATGACAAACATTACTTGAAGAAGAATCCACCTTTGAAACCTTTGTAGCCCTCGCCTTTTCCATAATAGCCTGCACCCGACCACCACAGCAGGTGATATTAAAGGATAAAAGAAAAACATTGCGGGTAGGTAGGGAATGAAGAACACTTGGCTTCTCAGAGGAAAAATAAAAACAGGACAAAATTGAGGAGAATGTGAATCAGGAAGCCAGAGCGCAGGAAAAATAACAACAGTGTCTAACAATGGTATCACATCGCATATCTTGACCTTAAACCCTAAACCCATGGACCCATAGGCACACCCTTGACTTGGGGGCGTGCATTGGACATCAAGGTGCGGGCATCAAGGAACGCGCCCTTGGTGCTTATGGCTCACCATTGAGGGCGGAACAGTAGCCATGCAGGGTGGGAGCAGGAGGATATTATTACCATGATGATGCTTCTTACATATACCATGATGTTCCATGCATGTACCATGATGTTCCATGCATATACCATGATGTTCCATGCGTATACCATGATGTTCCATGCATATACCATGACGTTCCATGCATATACCATGACTTTTCATGCATATACCATGACGTTCCATGCATATACTATGACGTTCCATGCATACACCATGACGTTCCATGCATATACCATAATGTTCCATGCATATACCATGATGTTCCATGCACATACCATGACGTTCCATGTACGTACCTTCGTGCCTATGGCCATGCACCACCACCACAGGCTGAGTGCTGTAGTGAGAATAATACCCTTGAGGGGTCATACCATACTGTCGCAATAGAGCACGCGAACTCACACTATCACACGTACCATGATGCCCATGATGATGCACAACCACCACACGCTGGGCGCTGCAATATTGCACCATCACACCATCACACTATCACACGTACCATGATGCCCATGACCATGCACCACCACCATAGGCTGGGTGCTGTACTGAGAATAATACCCTTGCGGTGGGGGCCCATAGCCATACGGAGCGGGAGGAGGAGGACCATATGGGGCAGGAGGAGGAGCGTAGGGATACCCATAGGGGGGAGCTTGAGAAGGTGGGGGGTAACCGGGATATCCGTAGGGGGCGAGTTGAGGAGAAGGAGGAGGGTAGCTGTATGGGGGAGGGGGATAGGGGCCTTGGGAGGGGGGGGGAGGATATGCGACTTGAGAGGGCGGGGGGGGATATGGGTCTTGAGAGGGAGGGGGAGGATACGGGACTTGAGAGGGAGGGGGAGGAGGATAGGAGTCCTGAGAGAGAGGAGGGGGATATGCGATTTGAGCAGAGGAGTGTGCTGGTGGTGGTGCTGCTGCTGGTGGTGCTGGTGCTCGTGCTGATACTGCTGCTGGTGCTGCTGCTGGTGCTGCTGTAGATGCTGGTGCTGGTGCTGGTGCTGGTGCTGGTGCTGGTGCTGGTGCTGCTGCTGCTGCTGCTGCTGCTGCTGCTGCTGCTACTGCTGCTGGTGCTGGTGCTGGTGCTGGTGCTGGTGCTGGTGCTGGTGCTGGTGCTGGTGCTGGTGCTGGTGCTGGTGCTGGTGCTGGTGCTGGTGCTGGTGCTGGCGCTGCTGCTACACTACCTCCGCTCCCAGCAGCACCAATAGCGAGAGCACCCATTGCCGCCCCAACTGCTGCTACAGCCGCCCCACCCCCCCCTATGTACTCTCCTGCTCTAGGTGCTCCCTGCACTGACTGCTGCTGACTTCCTGCACTGGGTGCTGGCTGGTGGGAATACTCTGGTGATGCCGTGGGTTGAGGGGTGTAGCTGTAAGGAGACGAGTTTTGAGACGCCTCAAACCCCCCCGCTGAGTGCTCTCCTGCTCTGGCAGCTGCCTGCATGGGCTGCTGCGGCCCTGCACTGGGTGCTGGCTGGTGGTAATACTCTGCTGCTGCCGTGGATTGAGGGGGGTAACTGTAGGGGTAATTGGGAGGAGGGTTGGCGGGTGGGGAGGGAGAGGGGTAGGTGGGAGGGGGGGAGGGCAGTGGGGGAGCAGCAGCAGAGGGAGCGGCAGCAGAGGGAGCGGCAGCAGAGGGAGCAGCAGCAGTGGGAGCAGCAGCAGAGGGAGCAGCAGCAGAGGGAGCAGCAGCAGTGGGAGCAGCAGCAGAGGGAGCGGCAGCAGAGGGAGCAGCAGCAGTGGGAGCAGCAGCAGAGGGAGCGGCAGCAGAGGGAGCAGCAGAGCCCCAAGAATCAGTTGCTGCAGGCGCTGCTGATTGATAATGAGGCGGAGAAGGAGGAGGAGCGGGGGGGGAGTAGTTTTGCTGGTTAGCAGCGGGAGGAGGAGCAGGGGAGTAGTTTTGCTGGGTGGCAGGGGGAGGAGGAGCGGGGGAGTAGTTTTGCTGGTTAGCAACGGGAGGAGGAGCGGGGGAGTAGTTTTGCTGGTTAGCAGGATGGGGAGGAGCAGGGGGATATTCTTGCTTATTAGAAGGAGGAGTGGGGGAATAGAGCTGTTGGTTAGAAGGAGGAGGAGCAGTGGGATTGTATTCCTGCTGGTTAGCAGGGGGCGGAGGAGCAGGGGGGTAGGATTGCTGGTTAGAAAGGGGAGGGGGAGGAGTACGGGGGGGGTATCCCTGCTGGTTAGCAGGGGGCGGAGGAGCGGCATAGTAGTCCTGCTGGTTACCAGGAGGGGGAGGAGCAGGGGAATAGGCTGGGGGGTATTCCTGATGGTTAGCAGTAGGCGGAGGAGCAGAGGGGTAGACTTGTCGGTTAGCAGGGAGGAGGGGAGCGGGCGAGTAAACTTGCTGGTTAGCAAGAGGAGGAAATGGGTGTACCTGGGGTTGGGGAGGAGGAGGGTTAGGGGAGTGAGTGGGCTGCTGTGGTGATGCTGTGTAGTGGCTGGGAATGGGAGAAGCTACTCTTGCTGCTCCTGCTCCTGCTCCTGCTGCTGCTCCTGCTCCTGCTGATGCTCCTGCTGCTATCCCTGCTGCTGCTGCAGCAGCAGCGGCTGCTGCGGCTGCTGCTTGTGCTTCTGCTGTTGCGGTTGGGGAAAGCATGGCCGTAGCAGGCATGGATAGGCTTGACTGGGCCTGGAGAACAAGAAGGCAGGAAGAAAAATAGTATATTTGAGGTGAGTTTTGAGTCGACTCAAAAGTCGCCTTGCTGCTGCACTTGGGGAAAGCATGGTCGGAGAGCAGGCGAGCCAAGGCTTGAGTGGGTCTGGAGAGAAAAAACGCAGGAAGAAACAGAGAATATGTGAGTTCGCGCGTATGTGATAGTCTGAGACTCTAACGGGAAAGAAAGGAAAGGAAGAAAAAAAACAGGACATCCGTGACTAGGCCTGGAGCAAGAAGGCAGGAAGAATTTGGTATCTGTGAGTTCATGCGTATCTGATAGTCAGAAACTCTAATGGGAAAGGAAGAAAAGGAAGAAAGAAACAGGCGCGGGCATGCTTGCCTGGGCCTGGAGCAATAAGACAGGAAGACACAGGAAGTTGGGTTACACCATTTTGTAAGTGTGTTTAAGTCTGTTGTAGTTGAAAGAGTACATTGTTACAGACAGAATACACTTTCAGATGAAAGCACTTTCATATAGAAAAGGCCTGAAGGGATGTTATTTGGCTCTTCGGGAATGGATTTTGAGTGAATTCAAAAGTTTATTTGAAAAAGCCCAAAGTGAGCATGGAAACGGAGCGAATGCTCTTTGGCTCTTCAAGATTTCAAACAACAAAATTTTCCCAGTGATCTCCCTCCAGCGCACTGTTGAGGCGCCTCAAAAGAATCCAAACAACGAAAAAATCCCTGTGATCTCCAGCGCACGCGCGTGACGGTTAGTAGTAGGATCTTCAGGTGCCTCAAACTTCTAGCTATGAGCCTAGATGCTTGTGATATCCGGCGCGTGACAGTTAGTAATAATGGTAAGAGGCTTACAGAAAAGTACTTCATAACGAGACGAAGGCGGCCCTTTTTCCTGCAAAAGAATGCCAGGAGCAGCACCAGGAAAGGAAGGAAGACAGAGTAGAGAGTAGAGTGACCTTATGTTGAAGAGGTTGCCTGCCAGGTGAGGTGACATTTAAGTCGACTCAACTCAACAGTCAGAAGAATACGTGTTTTGAGTCGACTCAAAACACGGAAAGGAAGACAGAGTAGAGAGTAGAGTGACCTTATGTTCATGAGGTTGCCTGCCCAGGCAAGGTGACTTCTAAGTGGACTCAACAACCAGAAGAATGTCAGGAGCAGCACCATAAAAGGAAGACAGAGTAGAGAGTAGATTGACATTATGTTCAAGACGCTGACTGACAGGCTAGGTGACATTTAAGTGGACTCAACAGTCAGAAGAATGTCTGGAGCAGCATTAGGACTTTTGAGACGTCTGTAGAGGCACCTTCAAACTGAGTAATAATCAGATACTTCATCAAGTGAATATGGGCCAGAGCAATGAGCGCTATGTCCACTTTTGTTACCTGTTGCAACGGCAATTCTTACCAAAGGAATTGAACTGTTTTGTTCTTCTTGACAAGTTTCGAGGCGCCTCAAAACGGCAGGGGCAAGAAAAAGTGGATGAAAGGTTGGGCACCTCAAAACCGGGTGCGAGTTGGGGAGTGGATGTGGGTTGCCCGATGTTTTTTTGGTGACTCAAAAAATCGAGTCCGCTTTTTAGGAACCTCAAAAAGGGGATGTAGGTCAAAGCAAAGCAACGGCATACGTTTGTCTCTTGGTGATCAGAGGATGCCACGTGTCCCATGCTTCTGCTGTCAGTGCTGGCTGAATGTCCACGCTGCAAGAGATTGAGCAAAGAGTGGAAGGGAAGGAGTTAAAAGGGGGCACAGGAAGTGACTAAAAGGAAGCAGTGTAATTGGGGCGCAAAGTTTTACTGTCAATGCAGGGTTTAAGGTGTAGGATTTAGGGTTTCGGGTTTAGCTTGTGTCAACTCAAGACCCGTTTGACCCATATCATCTCAGGTTGTGTCAACCTGTCCGAGGTGTATTTTGAGGCGCCTCAAAATACACCTCAGGTTGTGTCAACCTGTCCGGTCAGGTCGACCCGACCCGTTTTTAGGTCTGATTGGTTAGAGGCGGGTCGGGCCAACTCGATACGCCCTCTCTCGGGTCACAACCAACCCGACCCTTATAAGCCCAGGTCCGGACCAACCCAACCCCGCCGCACCCAACTCGACGGGCTGACTTCTGAGTTGACTCAAAAGTCAACCCAACCCTTATAAGCCCAGGTCCGGACCAACCCAACCCCGCCGCACCCGACTCGACGGGCTGACTTCCGAGTTGAATCAAAAGTCAACCCGACCCTTATAAGCCTGGGTCCGGACCGAACCAACCCCGCTCCACCCCACTCGACGGGCCCTCGGGTCACAGCCAACCAGAACCTTTTAAGCCCGGGTCAGGTTGGCAGGCCCGGGGTCCCGACCTAACTTCTGGTCGACCCGACCCGACCCGACCTGACCCGATCCGACCTGACCCGGCCTGACCCGATCCGACCCGTACCCGACCTGACCCAACCCGAACCGTACCCGGCTCGAGTTGATATGCAGAGATGAGTCTGACCCATTTCTCATGTCTACATAGGAACACCAACCAGACCACGGGTCGACCTGGTTCCGTTCGGTTCGGTTTGGTTCAGTTTGGTTTGGGTTGGTATGTATATAAGAGCCTGACCTGGCCGCTTATGTCAACATAGGAACACCGACCGGCCAACCAATCAGAGCAGGCAGGGGGGACTTACGAGCAGTGGCCGATTAAACTGTCCTTTAGCTTGTTCTTGTCCCACACGTGGCACTCCAAAGGGCTGACTTGGCCCTTTAACTGCAGCTGAAACGTCTCGTTCCACACAGGGGTGATGTGGCCATCTGGAGGAGCGAGGGATGGTAGAGGAGATTGAGAAAGGCGCCATCAGGGGTGATGTGGAACTGCAGTAGCTGATTTGAGGCGTGTCAAAAGGCTGTCCGCTTGCTCCTCTGCCCTCATGTGCAGCTCACATCACACTCCTGAGCCACACGGTGGTGGTGTGGCCGGGTTTGCGGGTGAGTGCAGGGGAAGCAGAGAAAGATGAGATGAGAGGAACTGCAGCAAACTTAGCAGCAGAGTCAGCAGCAGATCGGTTGCAGAGTCAGCAGATTAGATGGTTATGATGCATGCATCCATTACGTACACACTGAATTGGATCAATGCCTCAAAACGTATCACTCAGCACACATGCATGTGCTGACTCAGCGTATAGAGTGAAGAGCTAAATACCTTGATGGACCATAGTGCGGTGCTGTTGGTTACCATACTGTAACACCACGTAAGGGTCTTGCTTGCCATACAACTCCACGTCATATAAATCCTTGCAGCCCACCACTGGTGTGGTGCCACGTGGCAAATTGGGGGTCAGGGGAGGAGGGAGGAGATTAAAAAAAAAAAACAAAGGTTAGCAGGCAAGTGCAATGCAAGAATAACGAGGCAGCTAGTAACGGATATCGAGCAAAGACTAACAGGTAACGAGCAGCAACTAACAGACAACGGATAGGGGTCAACAACTAACGAGCAACGAGTAATGGCCAATGAGTAGAGAGTCTGCGATTCTTATTCATCCATGCGTATGACATCAAACGTCACTCACAACTTCTTAAATGTACCACGTGACGTGCGTCACTAGGACATTCCATCACGTCTAGGTTTTGTCTTACCTACGCCGACGAATTCGAGACAGCAATTCCTTTTCCTTATGTTTGCAACATTGGAGGTTTCTTTTCACCATATCCCACTTTCCTGGACCCTACATCTGAGACGGCATTAAAAACTACCGCTGCCTTTCATTACCTTCTCTGTTGTCTGAGACATCAAGGAATCAGGTCCAGCTAGCCACACGCATCATGACAACTTCCACTTTTCTGGTCCTTATATGAGGTTCAAAGCTAACAAAGTGACTTTTAACTAGCCAGACCCCGCCGCAAACCTTTCAACCACACATATAATATGTTTTTGTTCAAGATCGTCCAGCCACACTTACCATTCACGTCTTATCAGCCAGACACCATGGCATTTCCATTGCCTTTAGCTTCTTACCCGTGACGTCTAACCAGCCAGACGCCATGACTGACAGAAGCGTCGCCGCGGCAAGCGTCGCAGCTCCTCCTGCCTTGTTGCCTGATTCAGGGTGCTACCGTCTTCGACAGAACGTCGTTAGAATAGCTACTACCACGGACCTACGGGCGAGGTCAGTCGAACGTTTCCTGTGCGGTGCACCTCGAATACCACTTTCAGAGAGCTACCCTCTTCGACAGAACGTCGTCACAATAGAAACTGCCGCGGAACCACGGGCGAGGTCAGGTCGTACGTCTCCTGTGCGTTCTCTGCGGTCTAGTTCGTTGCGCCACGGTGCAAAACGGTACACCTCAATATCCACTTTCCACCGTGTGGAACCGTTCTGAAACACGGAGACTGAACTGAAAAGGTACGACCTGACCACGCCTTAAGCCGTCCCGTCAGACCACCCTAAATGGGGTTAAAGCCAAACGAATGCGACACGAGTGAGACTGTGAGACGAGAACGAGAAACTTTAAGGGCTTCAAGGAGTCGCTAAAGTCCGGGAGAGGTACGTAGAAAGCTGCACAATGGACGGCTCCGATCATAAGATTACCACATCGCGTCGACCACGCGGGATTATTGGTCCCCGACAACGCCTGTCAACAAAGTGCGGCACAATCCGGCTAGCATCACGCTCGTTTTGATCAACCAAGTTCCATAGAATCTATATGTGCCCCCATTATCGGCACCCTTTTCCCAACTACAGTGTCTTGCCGTAAACCAATCAGGTTCTGATGGTGAAGCTCCCGCTGGCACATTCAAACCAATCAGGTTGCCCGACGAACAAATATCGGGTACCGCTTCCAAAAAGTTGACCAGAAATACGCGTTATCAACGGGACCAGAGTTAGAAGAGTTAGGAAGCACAGCATTTTTTTGGAAAGCAGCACTTATAATCCCGTCTTATCTGTAGCTTGTGCCCAAATCTAACCTACTTCCACTTATTATCATAGTGGTATTTGCCTTCTTTTTGTGCTCTTTGTGGTAGCACTTTTTACAGTGTTTGCAGTCGCAGAAATCTTTATTTTTCCGATCTTTATGCGAGTGAGACCGGCTGTCCTTGTATCTGTGCTCTCCCTTAACATGAGAGCCACTACTTCCACCTATAACGCCATAAATGAAAGAGAGAGCAGAGAAAAAGAAAGAGAAAAAAAAAAGAAACTGAGATAATCACAAGTAAAATTGCTGTGGTTGAGGAGGCATTGATAGGGAAAGAAATCCAGAGCGACTTGATAACAAGGTCTTACCGCTCTTATGTCGTTCAAACGAAACAGGTGACGTGGAGCGGTTACCACCACGAGCGCGATCGCTGCTGGCATCACAGTAACCACCAGGGGCAGGTGGGGTAGGATAACCCCAGGGAGTGGGGTACTGTGCCCCACCCTGCTGATAAGGAGGATAGGGTGTAGGCCCTTGTGGTGCAGCATAGGGATAATAGGGAGCGTTAGGAGGAGGGGGATGGTTCGGATAAGCACCAGGGGGTGCTTGGGAAGGGTTACCGTACTGAGAGGGGCTGTATTGAGAGGGATTGTAATGAGTGGGGGGGTAAGGATAGGGATACTGATTTGGGGCAGGAGGGTTGGGATAAGGGTTGGCTGTCGCAGGGTTGGCAGGATATGGGTGGGATGATGACGTTTTTGGGGCGGCGTGGGTGGGTGGAGGGGCGTGAGGGTAGGAGTGTTTATGAGGGTGTGCGTTAGAAGGGTAGGTGGCGGAGTGATCTGAAATGTCTGAATCGGCTGATTGGGATGATTCGGAAGGGGGGTAGCTTGAAGAGAAAGACGAGTGGTTTGAGTGGTGAGAACCTCTTTCGTCCTTATGTGAGTGTGCAGATTCGGATGACCTGGTCGAAGGGATGGAGGCGGAGGAGGGAGAAGGGTATGAGACAGAGGGGTGAGCGTAGGAAGGGGGCGGATGGTGGGAGGGCCAGGAGGGAGAAGGGTATGAGACCGTGGAGGAGGAGGCGGAGGAGGAGGAGGCGGAGGCGGAGGAGGAGGTAGAGGAGTAGGAAGAGTATTGGGACGAACGGGTAGGACCCGTGGAACAGGATAGGCTAGTCGCTGCATTAATAGGCTGGTGTGGGGATGATTGGTGGGCCTGATAAGCCGTGGGGGGTGCGAGAGAATGTGGAGGAGGAGGAAGAGCAGCAGCCAGAGGAGCAGTAGGATATGGAGCATGAGAGTGCATAGGCACAGCTTGTGGTTGTGGATTAGGTAATACTGCTACAGGTGCAGTGCTACCCCTTCCTGCTTCACCCAGCGCCCCCATCATTCCCACCCCTCCTTTCACCAAGGGAGCCTTGGCTGCTTCTATTGCATGCCGAACCAAGTCTTCAGCCTCGCCTGACCGAACCTTGTCCATAGCTCCGGAAACAGTGCCTGTCACCATGCCCATCATTCCAGTCAGCACAGAGCCACCACCTGAAAAATCACCTGACATGACACCTGCCATTGCCCCTGTTACCGCCTCCTGCATGCTTGACATAGCCCCTGTCAACCCCCCTGAATGCTCACCTGAAGCCACCTTGGGCGCGCTAACCAAAGCTCCTCCCGAACCTCCGGCCAGACCTGTGACCAAACCTCCGACCGTACCTCCCCCCGACCCTCCCGATCCCCTTCCTAAACTCCCACTCCCTTCTGCCCTCCCCGACAACCCTCCCTCCTCCCCTTCATCCCCTTCCGCAATCGCATCAGCCCAGACCTGCTGCTGCCCTCCCCCCTGCCGCCCGGTCACACCACCACCACCACCAACCCCTCCCTTCTTATCCAACACAGCTGCCACTGCGGTGCTTCGTCCTTTAGCTGCCTCTGCCGCCCGGCTGTGAATACTGTGACTGGGCGGCAATCTCCCGGCTTCTGCCAGGATCTGGTGTATGGTAACCAGCTGCTTCTGTGAGACCGTGGTGCGCAATCTGGACCGTCCGATTGCCTTGCTGCTGCTGCTGCTGCTGCTGGTAGTGGTGGCGCTGCTGGTGGTGCTCGTTTTGCTGCTGGCGGTAGCCTTGGTGGTGGTGGTGGTGGTGGTGGCAGCAGGAGGAGTAATGCTGCTGGTATTTTGAGTCATGGGTTTGGAAGAAGAAGGCAGAGCCTTGGCAGAAGCAGCAGCAGCAGCAGCAGCAGCAGCAGCAGCAGCAGCAGCAGCAGCAGCAGCTGCAGCAGCAGAATCAGCACCACCTGCGCTGGCACCCTCAGGTGCGGCTCTGATGCCATCAGGTGCTGTTCTGTTGTCACCAAGAGTTTTACCAGAGGCACTTCCAGTATCACCAGTTGTCATTCCGAGGCCCTCAGCTGTTTTCTCGAATTCACCTGAACCAGGTGCTTCTCTGCTGCTGCCACCAGGTTCTCCACTGGTGTTCTCAGGTGCTTTTCCAGATTCACCTGAGCTGACCACACCTGAATCCCCCCCCTCACAATTCTCAGCAAGCATGCGATAAATCGCGTCAATCCGCTGAGACAGCCTGGCAGCAGCTAAGGCCTCTTCGTCCATGGTATTCAGCGGAGCACCCACAGCACCTGGCAAAACATCCTCCTCTTCTCCCGATTCTTGCTCCCAAGTGGCTCGGCCAATCTGCCACCCAGGCACTTCGTCCTTAGCTTTCTCTCCCCCTGCGACATCTAATCCGATCCCTCTCAGTGAACCACCAGCACCAGCAGCAGCACCAGCAGCAGCACCAGCAGCAGCACCTGCAGCACCAACACCAGCAGTCCCTGATCCATCTGTAACAATCTCATCTGCAGCGAGGTCTGGTTCGATCTGTGCTACAGCCAGCATACGTTCAATCGCATCCAGCTGCATGGAGAGATTAGAGCGTGGGAGGGAGGTGGGCCGGCCAGAGGAGGAGGAAGAAGAGGACGCGTGCTCATTGCTCTGCTCTGTGCCTTTGTCACGAGCACTGCCTTTGTGGTCACTACCAGAAGCATCTGCTGCAGCGGTCCCGTGTGCAGCGTTGATACTGTGAAGGGCCATGGAGAGAGCAGAGCGAGGGAGTGACCCTGAAGCTGCGTTGCTGCTACTGGTGACAGCTGCGTTACACTCTGCTGCTGCTGCTGCTGCTGCTTCTGGTGGTGGTGCTGGTGCCGGTGCAGCTACTAGTTCTGGCAGGGGAGTGGCTCCCAGCTGCTTGTACTGAGGGTTCTGGTGGGAGAGAAAGAGAGGGGTGTGTGGCGGAAATGGAGAGCGTGGAGGAGAAACAGAGGGAGGTACGGGGACGCAGTGGAGATTGAGATAGAAAGAGTAAGGGAAGCGGCAACAGTTACAAACTCCTCCCTGGCAGCACCGCCTCAATGCTTGTACTGGGGACCGCCAGACAGCGGCAACGACGGCGGGGAAGGGTTGTGGCTCCCATTTGAACAAGTGGGTGTACTGGGAATCCTTTTGACTTGTGAGTCGACTCAAAAGTCAAGTGGGTGTACTGGGAATCCTGGTGGGAGGAGTAAAATGTGACATATAATTCCATTACTCATGTCTCAACTCTTACTGATATAATGTCCCGGATAATGCTACCCTTCTTCCGATCAATAGAGGGAAAAAGCACAGACAAACTTACAGGCTTTAAGGAATGGAACGCAACGGGTGGTATCTAATGATCAGGCGATTTCTCACAGGCGTTTGTAGGTAGAGCCTACAGGAGACAGGTAAAATCTAAATAGGACGCTTGATCACCTGTGACGAATGGAACATACCGGGTGGTATTTGATGATCAGGCGAATGCTACCCTTCTTCCTGCATGCATTACGAGTACGTACACACGTGAAAGACACAAGATGAATGCGTTGAAAGAGAAATCCGCACATTGTACAGAGTAATAATGCGGTCGAGTGTGGTCCAGCAATAATTCTCACACACCTACAAACGCTCAAACACCCACACACTCAAACACTCACACGCTCAATCACACACTCACACACTCACACTTGTTTTGATGTGTAGAGAGGGTGCCATGCGTCAGTCACTCCAGCATCGAGAGCTTGGCTGATGCTCACCCTGCAGAAAGGATTTGGATTGGAGAACCAAGGCAGCGAAGAGGGGAATCAATTGAAGAGGATAGCACACAACAGACACCCCAGCATCCAGAGCTTGGCAAAAAGGGGAGAGGGAGGAGGGGAGTGGTGAAGGGGAGGAGGGGTGAGGAGAGCAGGGAAAGAGTGGAGGAGGAATCGATTGAAGAGGATGCCATGCGTCAGTCACTCCAGCATCCAGAGCTTGGCTAAAAGGGGAGAGGGAGGAGGGGAGTGGTGAAACGCCTTGAAACGCCTTGAAACGCCTCCCTCCTAGACTAGTGGCGAACTCTCTTGCAGCCAATGACGGGCCGGTCCTGAGGGAGGCTTTTTTCCTTCCACACGCCCACAGTGAGGCACACAATAAATGATAGCCTAGACAGAAACACTTCCGCCATTTCTCATGGAGTTTGTTTCGTTGTCCTAAAACAACACGAGTTGATGGAAGTAAGGCCTCCGCAGCCCACCTGTCCTCTTTTGACAGCTCCCACAGTGAGGCTCGCAATAAATGATAGCCTAGACAGAAACACTTCTCTAAACCCACACACACACAGCACCAAGCCAGGTGCAGTGCAGCAGCAAGCAAACCCAATTTCAGCGGCCAATGGGCCTGTCTTGGGTGAGAGTGTTCTCGTTCCACACGCCCACAGTCAGACAGGCAGGAAGCAGTAACCTACATACTCCTCTTTAGAGTCCCACGCAGCAGCGCACTCACGTGCAGCCGCCAATGGGGCTGTCTTGACGTTCCACACGCCCACAGTCAGGTCAAGAGAACACACTGTTCTGGTAGTTGTTACACACTAGCGATCTCACGCACAATAACCGCTAGCATTGCCCACCATCTCTACACTCACTTGCAGCCGCCAATGGGGCTGTCTTGACTGAAGGTGTTCTCGTTCCACACGCCCACAGCCAGGTCAAACACGTTGGGCTGGTAGTTGATGCGGACTGTCTCGTTCCACTGGGGGGCTGTGTGGCCGTCTGGGGAGAGGAGAGGGGGGGAAGAAGCGAGGAAATTTTGGAAATGAGAGGATTTTTGTGACAGGTCAGGTCAAACACGTTGGGCTGGTGGTGCGCACTGTCTCGTTCCACTGGGGTGCTGTGTGGCCGTTTTGAGAGGGAGGGAACGGAAGAAAGGGAAAACATGATGTGAGTTTCGAGACAAGTCAAACACGTTGGGCTGGTAGTTAATGCGGACAGTCTCGTTCCACTGGGGTGCTGTGTGGCCATTTGAGAGAGAGGGAACGGAAGAAAGGGAAAACATGATGTGAGTTTCGAGACAAGACAAACACGTTGGGCTGGTAGTTAATGCGGACAGTCTAGTTCCACTGGGGGCCTGTGTGGCCGTCTGGAGGTGCACGGCAGGGGACAGCAACGGCAGGGGACAGCAACGGCAGGGGACAGCAACGGCAGGGGACAGAAACCGCAGGGAAAGCAGGATGTGAGTGAGTGTGTTTCGATAGGGGAAGCACGTTGGGCTGGTGGTTAGTGCGTACTTTCTCGTTCCACTGGGGGGCTGTGTGGCCGTCTGGAGGTGCAGGGGAAGAAGGGAAAGGGAAGGGAAAGGGCAGTGAAAGCCAGGGAAAGCAGGATGTGAGTGAGTGTTCAGTCAGGTCAAGTCAAACCCGTTGGGCTGGTAGTTAAACTTAAAGCGGACTGTCTTGTTCCACTGGGGGGTTGTGTGGACATCTGAAGCGCAGGGAAGGAAAAGGGCAGCGAATACAGGAAATGACAGGAATGATTTAAGGGTCCTGCCTGCCAGCCATAGAGTTGCGTGTCCTGCCTTTTGCAACGGCTCCCGACCTGCTGTTTACACTCTCTAACCCCAACCCACTTGGTGGGCGTCCATGCGCTTGCAGTGTGAGCCGTACTGCAGCACCACGGAAGGGTCCTGCCAGCCAGCCGTAAAGCTCTGTGTCCTGAATCCTATCCACTTTGCTATGGCTCCCGACCTATTGTTACCCTCTCTAAACACAACCCACCTTTGTGAGTGGCCGTGCGCTTGCATTGTGAGCCGTACTGCAGCACCACGGAAGGGTCCTGCCAGCCAGCCGTAAAGCTCTGTGTCCTGAATCCTATCCACTTTGCTATGGCTCCCGACCTATTGTTACCCTCTCTAAACACAACCCACCTTTGTGAGTGGCCGTGCGCTTGCAGTGTGAGCCGTACTGCAGCACCACGGAAGGGTCCTGCCAGCCAGCCGTAAAGCTCTGTGTCCTGAATCCTATCCACTTTGCTATGGCTCCCGACCTATTGTTACCCTCTCTAAACACAACCCACCTTTGTGAGTGGCCGTGCGCTTGCAGTGTGAGCCGTACTGCAGCACCACGGAAGGGTCCTGCCAGCCAGCCGTAAAGCTCTGTGTCCTGAATCCTATCCACTTTGCTATGGCTCCCGACCTATTGTTACCCTCTCTAAACACAACCCACCTTTGTGAGTGGCCGTGCGCTTGCAGTGTGAGCCGTACTGCAGCACCACGGAAGGGTCCTGCCAGCCAGCCGTAAAGCTCTGTGTCCTGAATCCTATCCACTTTGCTATGGCTCCCGACCTATTGTTACCCTCTCTAAACACAACCCACCATTGTGAGTGGCCGTGCGCTTGCATTGTGAGCCGTACTGCAGTACCACGGAAGGGTCCTGCCAGCCAGCCGTAAAGCTCTGTGTCCTGAATCCTATCCACTTTGCTAAGGCTCCCGACCTATTGTTACCCTCTCTAAACACAACCCACCTTTGTGAGTGGCCGTGCGCTTGCAGTGTGAGCCGTACTGCAGCACCACGGAAGGGTCCTGCCAGCCAGCCGTAAAGCTCTGTGTCCTGAATCCTATCCACTTTGCTATGGCTCCCGACCTATTGTTACCCTCTCTAAACACAACCCACCTTTGTGAGTGGCCGTGCGCTTGCAGTGTGAGCCGTACTGCAGCACCACGGAAGGGTCCTGCCAGCCAGCCGTAAAGCTCTGTGTCCTGAATCCTATCCACTTTGCTATGGCTCCCGACCTATTGTTACCCTCTCTAAACACAACCCACCTTTGTGAGTGGCCGTGCGCTTGCAGTGTGAGCCGTACTGCAGCACCACGGAAGGGTCCTGCCAGCCAGCCGTAAAGCTCTGTGTCCTGAATCCTATCCACTTTGCTATGGCTCCCGACCTATTGTTACCCTCTCTAAACACAACCCACCTTTGTGAGTGGCCGTGCGCTTGCAGTGTGAGCCGTACTGCAGCACCACGGAAGGGTCCTGCCAGCCAGCCGTAAAGCTCTGTGTCCTGAATCCTATCCACTTTGCTATGGCTCCCGACCTATTGTTACCCTCTCTAAACACAACCCACCTTTGTGAGTGGCCGTGCGCTTGCATTGTGAGCCGTACTGCAGTACCACGGAAGGGTCCTGCCAGCCAGCCGTAAAGCTCTGTGTCCTGAATCCTATCCACTTTGCTAAGGCTCCCGACCTATTGTTACCCTCTCTAAACACAACCCACCTTTGTGAGTGGCCGTGCGCTTGCAGTGTGAGCCGTACTGCAGCACCACGGAAGGGTCCTGCCAGCCAGCCGTAAAGCTCTGTGTCCTGAATCCTATCCACTTTGCTATGGCTCCCGACCTATTGTTACCCTCTCTAAACACAACCCACCTTTGTGAGTGGCCGTGCGCTTGCATTGTGAGCCGTACTGCAGCACCACGGAAGGGTCCTGCCAGCCAGCCGTAAAGCTCTGTGTCCTGAATCCTATCCACTTTGCTATGGCTCCCGACCTATTGTTACCCTCTCTAAACACAACCCACCTTTGTGAGTGGCCGTGCGCTTGCATTGTGAGCCGTACTGCAGCACCACGTAAGGGTCCTGCCAGCCATAAAGCTCCGTGTCCGTCAGATCCTTGCATCCGACGGCTGACAAGGAACCAAGGGGGGAGGGGGATGAGGCGGGAGCCGGGTGTGCTTATAAAGAAAGGAAGAGGATTGGAAATAAGAAACAGGTGGATGGCTTGATCTTCCCCATGAGGCGAGGACCCCTGGGACCTCACGGCTTAAAAGTCATGGCAGGGAGTGCTTGAAAGAAAAGAAAGATTGGAGGTAAGAAACGAGTGGACGGCTTGATCTTCCCCATGAGCGAGCATCTCTGGGACCTCACGGTTTGTGTTAAGCAGGACAAGCGGGAGAAAGGGCGGGGGGAGGTTAGTTTCAGAAAGCCTTGTAGTCCAAATTCAGTGCCTCACAATCTCATTGACAAACATGCTCTAAGACTCAAAATCGTTGGCTCGCATAACTATTTTTCTTCTTCTCCTTCTTCTCTTTTTTTTTCCCCTCCATCACATCCATCAAGCAATGGCAACAACGCCGAACCTTACTGCACTCATCGAGTAACATGATAGCCCATTGATGACGTGCGTGGATTCTACATCGAGTAACACGAGCCCATAAAAACTCGCGACGAGCCCTTCAATTAAGAAAGTTCATTCCGCAACTCTGGACGAGGGTCTTAGCATTGACGAAACATGTTGATCAGGCGCCTAAAGAACTCGCGCCTCACCAGAAGACGTCCCGGAAAATATTGTTTCTGCGGCGTCTCAGAAACGATCTTCTTTCACGAGACGTCTCAAAAAGAATTCGCGCCTCAACAGAAAACATCCCAACATTTTGAACGCCGAAATGAGTTCGAATCAGAGGGAAACCTTGTGGTATCTCACGCGACGTTACCTGTAACGTCTATCCATCCAGCAGCTGCATAGCTCATGAGTCCAGACTCTTCCTCCCTCCGCAGCGCCTATTACTTCCGTCTCGACACAATCCAAGCCGCGACCGTTACCGTAAGCAGAAGAAACCTGCCTGCTTTCTACGTCGCTAACCTTCAAAGACGCGGTAGAAACCTAGCAAAAAAAAACAGGAAAAGCTGTTAAATAATCCCTGGAAACTAAAGCTCGTGCTCTCGTTTCTAGGTTAGTGGGGTCAGGTCAGGACTCGGAACTCGTGTGGCAGTCGACAGTTCAGACGTACAATCAAGACTCGTGTGGAGGATGCTCGAGCCTCGAGATTTGAGATATTGAGGCTCTGGTGGTGCTTCCACCAGAGAATTTGTGGTGATGGCAATTTCGAGGGCCATTCACTCCAGTCACACTTTAGCCCGGTCAGAATTTCTGGGTTTAGCGACGTAGAAAGCAGGCAGGTTTCTTCAAAGATGTCGCTAACCTTCAAAGATGTCGCCAACCTGGCAACCGCTGTAGTCACAAATTGTGTGGCAACCTTGGGTTACCGTACCTTCAATCGCTGCCGCCCAGTTCATAAATGGACCACCACAATTATTTGTCGTACTGTCCAACAAAATCCGGCAAAACGTACGCGATACCATATATCTTCGTGACGAAAGGTCTGTACAGATATATTAACTCCCTATGCCCCAGATATTCAGAAGAGTCTGAAGAACTTGCTTGCAACAAAGGGAAGGGCATGTACGTACTCATCACAGGTGTCTGTCAATTAGGCACCAAAGGTGTGCAATTGTTGACAACATACTATATCTAGAGCGAGTCTTTTCCTAATTGTATCAATGCTCATAGCTTTGAAACCAAACATATATGCTGTGGTATCAAGATTGAAGGAACCTGCAACTGATGACATGCTCATGTACCGTACAATAGTTTTGTAGATTATCAGTGATATAACTTCAGTAGGTGCCATCAATTTGTATGCAGTGCGATCGTCAAAACATATCATCGTCTCTTGTAAAGGCAGGGTTTCAAGGCAGGCCATGTAATGTCAGCAGACACTGAAATGTTTTTCTTCACCTGACCTTTCTTCAGCTGTAAGAACAGCAGCATTCCATACAGTCACCCGTCTCCCACCAAGTCCAACACATCCATTCATCAATTCAAAGCACAAGAGTACAAATGGAATAGAGAGGTGTACACAATCAACATCTCATGGTTTGACAAAACCACAACGAGAAAGTTAAGAGGTGCGTGCGAATGGGAGAACATGCCAGTTAACATGCGCTTGAGTTTATCAACGCGTAAATATGTAAGCAAGCACGCGATATGCAAAGAAAACATTATGCACCAGATTGAACAAAACGAACACTGATGGTATAACAATAACTTATTTCATTTGTACCAGTACTTACATCGCGTAATTGTTCCTTACCTTTGCCCGCAAGGCTGTCACTCACCTCTGACTGCACCTTTTCAAGGAAAAGGAGAAGAAACATCTTATTGCTCAAATCCTGCCCAAAAAATAAAAAACAAAGTACAGAGGCGGAGCTTGATTGACCCAAGAGAGCATGTGGGCCTTGTGTTATGCAATCCAACCAACACTACCCACAACAGAGGAACCTTGGAGACGAGGCGAAACGCTAGGTGTTGAGTAGAGAGAGGAAGTGTGTCGACTCCATCCCTCCAATGGTGTGGCATACATACAGCAAAATGCAATCCAACACTACTACCCAATGACTGTACCTTGGAGACAAGGCGGAATCCAAGCTGTTTCAGTGCAGCAACAAAGTCCTTCAATTCCGCCCCTCCCGTGGTGGGGTCAAACCGGCTCCTCACCTCGGCTATAATGAGTGAGCCCCTGTGTTTAGAATAGGGGGAGGGCAGGAGAAGGCAGAGAGGGAACCATAAGGCACCTCAAAACATCTCCAGTGGTGGGGTCGAACCAGCTCCTCATACTGTACCGTACTGTACCGTACTATACCATACTGTACCGTACTGTACCGCACTATACCATACTGTACCGTGTTGTACCGTACTGTGCTGTACTATAGCGTAGCAGAAACAGGCTTACCCAGGCTGCTGTAGCACACCAAGGGCCTCAGAGAGGAAGGAGGGGTAGTCTGCTCCCATGAGGGAGCCTCGCCCTTCCGTAGACAATCTACTGTACTGTACCATATTGTACCGTATGCCACCGTAGCAGTGACAGGCTTACCCAGGCTGCAGCACACGGTTGGCTTCGGAGAGGAAGGAGGGGTAGTCCGCTCCCATGAGAGAGCCTGCATCACTCCTTGCCCTACTGTAGGGAACGTATTGTACCGTACCATACTGTACCGTACCATACTGTACCGTACCATACTGTGCCGCTTAGTTGCGGAAGACGCGTCTAGCGTCTTAGACGCGTCCGTCTAGACGCAGCGTCTAAGACGCTAGACGCTAGACAGTGTAGATTAGACGCAATATTAGACGAAAACCCGGGCAGGCTTAAAAAAAAGGTTCGGGCAGACCAAAAAAAGTTCTATGGGGCATGGGGAGGGTGGGGGACATGCACCTATGTCACAATGGGGTGAATTTTTCCCCGTACCATAATTTTTTCCCCATTCTTAGACTTCACAAAAATCATCACATCTCATCATATATAGTTAGGTTTCCATGTCTCTCTAGTAGTAGCAAACTCGAAGAACAATATTACTACTACATCTCTCTCCTATCACTACGCCTCCTAGCTCTCCTCCTCGTCCTCCTCCTCGTCCTCCTCCTCCTCCTCCCCTTCCTTCTCCTGCTCATCCTGTTTCTCCCACTCATCGAAGCACACGTCGTCCTCGTCCACCTCCACCTCCCCATCCTCCTCCAACTTGTACCCCTCGGGGAGGGGAGGGGGGGGAATGTTCCCCTCCACCACCGCACCCTTCCTTCCCACCACACTAGGCCCCGCGTCACCCGCATCCTTGTGGAAGTTGTGCACAACATTCCAGTTGTGCGCAACGTACACAAGGTCGCGCACTTTCTCCGACCCGAGCCGGTTCCTGCGCGCTGTGTGCACGCCATCCCACGTAGACCAGTTCCGCTCGCACGGGGAAGCGGAAACGGCCTGGGACAGCGTACGTCGCGCAACGCGCGCCAGGTCGGCGTACTCCCATCCATTGTACTGCCACCACAACATCACGTTCCCCGTCCCCAACTGAATCTCCCCACGCCCATCGATCGCAGTCTGCGTGCCGAATCCTCCTTCGCCGTTGATGTAGGCCGTCACCCCCTCGTGCAGCGGCCGCACTGGTCCCTTCTTGCCGCGGGACTTCTTCCAGTATGTGTTGACGAAAGCCATCTGTCGCTCCAGCCACTCCTGCATGACCTTGGTGCACTCCGCATCCTGCAGAAAGATCCCCTCCTCCTGGTTGGCCGGGTTCAAGATCCGGCCTGCCACGTGGAGGGGGCAAGCCAGGCTCTCGTCCCAACGCCTCCTCAAATGCTCCCGCACCTTCTCCTTATCCGCCCTGCTCAGCTTGCACTCCCTCCCATCCAGCAGCTTATCCAACTCCTCCGTCAGCTGCAGCATGTTGTCGTAAAGCTGGCCCATCATCCCCTTCACCGTTGAGTCCGTCCTCCGCATCACGTTGTAGAACAGCTCCATCACCTGCACAAAGACGTCCACCTTCTTCCACCACGCTGAGTCCATCACCCACCCCTCGAAATCCGCTCCCGTCAGCGTGTTCCCCCCCTTCTCCGCCCAGTCCTTGTGCGTCACCATCGCCGTGAGCTGCTGGCGAACGTCGCGCAGACGAGACACTGCGATGAACTGCGTTCCAAAGCGCGTGCCTGCCGGGCGCAACATCTGCAGCGATTTCTCCTCGCCGTGCAACTCCGGGCTCCGCATGAAGGCGCGCGTCCACTGGTGGCCCCGCACGAAGGAGATCATGTTGTCAGCCTGGGTCACGACCACCTGCGCCCAGTCCATCTTGCCGATGTCCTCCATCAGCAGGTCCAGCACGTGCGTGGCGCAGGGAACGAGGTCGAGATGCGGCCACTCCTTCTGCAGCAACTTGCCAGCAGCTTTGTAGTTGCTGCCGCCGTCTGTGCAAAGCGCCACGAGGGGCTCTGGCCCGATGCGCTCGATGATCGGCCGCAGGACGCCGACGATGAACACGCCACTCTTCGTCGCCGCCTTGCAGTCGACCGCCTCAACGAAGACCGCTCCAGTGTCGTTGATGCAAATGATGTTCATCTGCGCGCGACCGCCCTTGTCTTGCATCATGTCGCTGGCGATCGTCACGCCTGTCTCCCTCCACGACCGCGTAACCGGCGACAGCGCCTTCTCAATCCTCTGTTTGCACTGAAGCAGGCCGGCGCCTCCGACGTAGTGCCGCTTGGGGGGGACGTAGTTGGGGCCGGCGGCGGTGACGGCTCGCAGCATGTTGAGGAAGAGCGGGTGCTCGCACAGAGACTCCGATGTGCGCGTCCCCGCGAGGTAGAGGACAATCGCCTCGTCGGCCGCCCGCCTTGCCGCGACCCCACCCTCGCCGTAAAAGTCCTCCATGTGCCCGTGCTTCCCCTTCCCCTTCGCCGCGCTCTTGCCGCTCACCGCCTCGATCGCCGCATTTGTCGCCCGCGCCTTTTGGTTGCGCGCCCGAATCTTCGCTTCGAACATCTCGCGAATCTCAGAGGAAATTTCCTTCGGCACATCCTTGCAAACGACTCCCGCCTCGCGTCGCCGGTGGGGGTCATCCCACTCGGCGAGATGCTCGGGACACCGGCTACTACTAAACGAAAACTTCTTGTGGCACCAAAGACACTCCACTTGCTCGCCCTTTTTCTTCGGATCCATAAAAAAATAGTAGTGCTTGTAGAACGGGTGGTCGGGAAACTTATTAGACTTCTTGTCAATCCCCTCCATTTCCGCGGAAACACGAGCGGAAGAACCCTCGCCGACGGCATTCTCGTTCGCGGAGGAGGACCTAGACGAATGGCTACTAGAAGACATGGTTGCGCGGTGGAAGGAGCTAAACCCTAAGGGTTTTCGAAAGAGATTTGGAAGAAATGAATGATGGGGAGCAAAATGAGGGATTTGTGCTCCCCAACCTCTTGGTGGTTAGCCATAGAGGTTGGGTTTTCTAGATACCAAGCGGTGAAGTGTGGTTTGTGTTCACTTTTGGTTTTGGGGGATTCAAATTTGCTTGGGGGGCTGGTTTTTGTGGTCGAAATGGGTGGGAAGGGGTTCTAATGGCGCGAAATTGAATTTCGCGTTGAAATGGCGAATGTCAATTTCGCGCGCGCGATATTTTTTTTTTCGGGCTGCCCGAAAAAAAAAACCCCAAGCGTCTTGCGTCTAAAACCGCGTCTTGCGTCTTACGTCTAGACGCTGCGTCTAGACGCAAGACGCAAGACGCGGTTTGCGTCTTCCGCAACTAAGCTGTGCCGTACCATACTGTACCGTACCATACTGTACCGTACCATACTGTGCCGTACCATACTGTACCGTACCATACTGTACTGTACCATACTGTACCGTACCATACTGTACCGTACCATACTGTACCGTACCATACTGTACCGTACCATACTGTACCGTACCATACTGTACCGTACCATACTGTACTGTACCATATTGTACTGTACCATACCAGAAGCAGGCTTACCCGGGCTGCAACACACGGTGAGCCTCAGAGAGGAAGGAGGGGTAGTCTGCTCCCATGAGGGAAACTGCAACACTGTATCCTCCATACCCTGCCGTACCGTATGGCACCGTGGCAGAAACAGGCTTACCCAGGCTGTAGCACGCGGTGGGCCTCAGAGAGGAAGGAGGGGTAGTCCGCTCCCATGAGGGAGAGGCAGAAGACAGCAATGTGGACAGAGGAATCTTGAAGTGGGGTCTGGGGCATGGAGGCATGGGGGCGATATGGGATAGGCAAACATGGATACAGTCACAAAAAGAAGATTGAGACGAGTCGAAAGGAAGAGGAGGGGTAGTCCGGTCCCATGAGGGAGAGGCAGAAGACTGCAATGTGGACTGAGGCATGGGGGGGAAAAGGGGGGTCTGATAGAGGGGACAACATGGGGTGGGCAATAGAGTGTTGTGACGTCTCAAGACAGCAAGGAGAGGTAGTCTTCTGCCTCAGGCCACGAAGGAGAGGCAGAAGACTGCTATATCCACTGAGGCGGCTGGCAGTTTGCCTCGTTACAGACAGCCACACCATTCTTGTAGTCATAAATTGTTATACTCATTCAATAAGCTCAGCCTATACTCATTCAATAAGCTCAGCCTATACTCATTCAATAAGCTCAGCCTATACTCATTCAATAAGCTCAGCCTATACTCATTCAATAAGCTCAGCCTATACTCATTCAATAAGCTCAGCCTATACTCATTCAATAAGCTCAGCCTATACTCACATGTGCCATGTTGCATGCCATCACGCCAGGAGCAGCAGCCACCAGGTCCAACGAGACCACTTAGTCTCCCTCGTTACAGTCACAAGATGCTTATAGTCACATCAGGGCACTCACATGAGCCATGTTGCATGCGATCACGCCAGGAGCAGCAGCAACCAAATCCAACGAGACCACTTTGTTGGGAACACTGGCTGCTAGCTTCGCCTCACCTGTTGGATATGTGGGGAGATTCATGCACAGAACACAGGATGGGGAGAGAGAACATTGGCATGCCATGTGGTTACTGTGCCATTGAGAGCATTTCAGGTCAGACATCTTCCAATGTAGGTGGTTACCGTGTGTGCAGTTTTAGACTTCAGCCACCATCACAAACGGAAAAGCCACTCCAGTTCTAAGAAAATGGTAAGGGAAACTCGGAGCAGAGGTGACTTTTGAGTCGACTCAAAAGTCAACTCGCAGCAGAGGAGGTGGACTGACCGGGGTCAGCACAAGTGGAAAAAACTCATTCACCCAGCCACCATCAATGAAAAGTTTTGGGGAATTCACAAATGCACCGATGCGGATGCGAGAGAAATTGAGGGTCAACGCAAGTCAACGAGGGTCAAGAGGGGGGTCAACGAGGGTCAACGGACTTACCGCAGCCAAATTTGGGTGGGTGGGAGGTCGATGGCGGATTTAGTCAATGATGACGTGGATGTGAGTTGAACACGTGGATCAATGAGGATCAACCAGAGTCAACGGGGGTCAACTAGATTCAACCAGAGTTAAGGGGGCTTACTGCAGCCAAAGTCAGCCACTGTGAGGGTGGGTGGGCGCTGGCGGATCCAGTCAATAATGACGTGGATGTGAGGTAAACACACGGGTCAACCAGAGTCAACAAGGGTCAACGAGATTCAACCAGAGTGAAAGGGGCTTACCCGCAACTGTGAGGGTGGCTGGTCGCTGACGGATCCAAAGAGGAAAGTCAATGCAAGTCAACGAGGGTCAACGAGGGGAATCAATGAGGGTAAACGAGCTCACCACAGCCAAAGTCAGCCACTGTGAGGGCGGCTGGTCGCTGGCGGATCCAGTCAATGATGACGAAAGTCAATGCAAGTCAATGAAATTTAATGAGAGTCAATAAGGTTCAACGGGGGTGTATTTGCTTACCGCAGCCGAAGTCGGCCACTGTGAGGGTGGCTGGGCGCTGGCGGATCCAGTCAATGATGACGTGGAGAGGGTTGATTGGCCAGGACGCCACCTGCTCCCGATAGCCTTCGTGGTACTGTTCATGTGTGCATGGATGAGGTGGGATGGGGTGGAATGTGGTGGGGTGGGATGGGGAGGGGGTGGAATGGGATGGAATGGGATGGGATGGGATGGAATGGGATGGAATGGAAAAAGGCGCACCACCTCCCGGTAGCCCTCGTGGTACTGTTCATGTGTGCATGCATGGGGTGAAAGCAGGGGGGATGGGATGTGATGGGATGGTGAAGGAAAAGGGTGAGGTTGAACAAAAGACACAGCTACCTGCCCCCGGTAGCCCTCATGGTGGTACTGCCCATGCTTGCATGGATGGGGTGGGGTGGGCGGGTTGGGAGTTGGGGTGGGTTGGGATGGGTGGGGTGGGTTCGGGGAGAGAAGAGAGAGGTGGGAATGGGTGGGGAGGGGAACTGAGTGACAGGTCTGACCTCGTTGGAAATTCCTTAAAAATATAAAAACAAAAAGACAAACAAACAGCCAACCAAAGGAAAAACAAAACAAGTATTTTTTTTATGAGAAGTGAGTCTTTGTTGGAGAGGAGAGGCTTGAGTTGACAGTGAGAGAGCCGGTGATCCCCCTCACTTCTGTGTAAGCATTCAACTTGTGCAAACGCGCGCGGATCCTCTGAGGACATCTGAAATGGTTTGTCTCTATCTGGAGTGGTGTAGAGCGATAATTTGAGGCGCCAAAAAATACTCTGAGAACATCTGAAATGGTTTGCCTCTATCTGGAGTGGTGTAGAGCGATTCTTGAGGCGCCGCTTCACTTGTGAGCTCATTCAATCCTTAAAGCCCCTATTCACCCCCCATACCTCTCACCTGTGCAAAAGCGTTTGGATCTTCAGAGGACATCTGAAAAGCCTTGTCTCCATCCGAGGTGTAGAGCGTCTCGCATTGACATGCAAGGACGTTTGCTCATTTTCACCCCTCAGCACTCCTTTCAAACCCGTTTCCATCCATTTCTCTCACCTGGGCAAAAGCGTTTGGATTTTCAGAAAACATCTGAAACGCCTTGTCTCCATCCGACGTGTAGAGAGTCTCGTTTTCTCGGAGTTCAATCAGACATCCAGAATCATTACTTTTGCCATATGCAGTTTTTTAGGTTTTTTCAGTTAACCCCTCTTCACCGCTTTCAAACCCTCCATATACACATTTCTCTCACCTGTGCAAACGCGTTTGGATCTTCAGAGAACATCTGAAACGCCTTCTCTCCATCCGAGGTGTAGAGCGTCTCGCATTGACATGCAAGGACATTCACTCATTTTCACCCCTCTGCACTCCTTCCAAACCCGTTTCCATCCATTCCTCTCACCTGTGCAAACGTGTTTGGATCTTCAGAGAAAATCCTTCTCTCCATCCGAGGCGTAGAGCGAGCTCATTCATTACCTCTTTTTACCTCTTTTTACCGCTCTCAAGCCCATCCCCATCTCATCATGTATCCACAATATCTCCCTCTCACCTGTGTGAAAGCGCTAGGGTCTTGAGAGAACATCTGAAACGCTTTATCTCCATCCGAGGTATAGAGCGTCTCATTCTCTCGGAGTTCAATCAGACATTCAAACCCATCTTCACCGCTTTCAAACCCTCCAGTTATCCATCCCTCTCACCTGTGTGAAAGCACTAGGGTCTTGAGAGAACATCTGAAACGCTTTATCTCCATCCGAGGTATAGAGCGTCTCATTCTCTCGGAGTTCAATCAGACATTCAAACCCATCTTCACCGCTTTCAAACCCTCCAGTTATCCATCCCTCTCACCTGTGTGAAAGCACTAGGGTCTTGAGAGAACATCTGAAACGCTTTATCTCCATCCGAGGTATAGAGTGCCTCGTTGAGCGATCGGAAGCGACTGCCTGCTAAGCGCGCCTTCATCTGATGTGATCGGTGACAGGACGAAAGGGGGAGGAGGAGGGGGGAAAGGGAGGAGAGGGGAGGGGAGGTTAAGGGAGGGGGAAAGGAGACAATCACACAGGTCTGCAGAAGGTACACGCCGTCTTGTCCCCATCCGACGTGTAGAACGTCTCGTTGAGCGATCGGAAGCGACCGCCTGCTAGGCGCGCCTTCATCTGATGTGATCTGTGATGGGAGGGGAGGGTAGGGTCAGGGGATGAAAGCACATAAGTCTGTATCCTCTGAGAACGTCTGAAACACTTTGTCCCCATCTGATATGATGGGATGGGAGGGGAGAGGAGGGGAGGCGGAAAGAAGCACACATCGCCTTGTCTCCACCCGAGGTATAGAGTGTCTCATTGAGCGATCGGAAGTGACCGCCTGCTAGGCGCGCCTTCATCTGTTGTGATCGGTGATGGGTTGGGATGGGAGGGAGCAGAGGTGAAAAGGAGCACATCGTATGAGTTTGATACAAGTTTCCTTGTCCCATCTGGAATGTAGAGTGTCTTGTTGAGTGACCGGTGACCACCAGCTAGGCACGCCTTCACCTGATATGATTAGCGATGGGGGGGGGGGGGGGGGGGGGGGGGGGGAGGGGGGGAGAGGGGAGGAAGGAAGGGAGGGGAGAAGAGGGGAGGAGACCATAAAAGGCAGGGTACGAAAAAAAAAGGCAAGAGTGTGCGACCAGACAGACACAACAGTGTGCCGACTAAAGAAGTGTGTGCTCTTTTCCCAAACCTCGCATGCAACATGGCCGCTCAACCGTGCCCAAAACAATATTATAAGCCCTGAAACTCTAAGCCCCAAGCCTTAAACCTCATTCTTCTTAGTGGAATCCAAAACCTGAAACTCAAAACCCTGAAACCCTAAACCTGAAACCCCATTGCTGGTAGTACCTTGTCCAGAAGGCTGAGCTTCTTGCTGCTGCTGCCTCCTCCTCCATTTCCTACTCGGAGGAAGCTGCTGCTGCTTCTTGCGTTGCTGGCAGCACTCGCGCCAACATCCCCACCTGCACTTTTGGCAGCATCCGCACCAGAACCACCACTGGCACTTTTGGAAGCATCTCCACCAACAATCTTCCCCGCCGCACCTGCTTTGCCCTTTCTGCGCCGCCCCTTTTTGCTGTCGTTTTCTGCAACTTGAGCTGCTGCACCTGTTCCTGTAGCCACATCTCGTAGGCTCTGGCCAATCGGGTTTCCCTGACCAGATGTACCTTCCCCAGGTATACCTGATTGACCTGATCGGCCTGATTGACCTAATTGTAATGAACCTTCCCCCGGTATACCTTTTCCGGCTTGCCCTGATTGTAAAGCACCTTCAGCAGATAAACCACGCTTCCGCTTGGACCCGAAACCCTCTCCCCGGCTAAACCCTGTGGCCTCGCCCTTGGCCCTCTTAGCGGGATGATGCGGTACCAACGGCCCAGATTTCGTCCCTGTTGCGGAGTCTTGTTGCCTGACCGTCGATGTGCCTTGGCTTGCTGGGGTGGCTTTTCTCTTCTTCTGCTTGTTCTTGTTCTTCGGCATGGTAGCTTCTACTAAACTTCCGTATGTAATATGAAATATTAACTAAGCGTTGCTGTTAAGCCTGCTTTGAGAGCATCGAGACTAAGCTCTATTGAGGAAAAGCAAAAGCGTGAATCTAAACCTCTACGATTTAAACGTTAGCGACGAAGTCACCCGCGTGCAATGCGAAAGCGGACACTAACGTAACGTCGTGAAATAACTCGCAATGGGAAATAAGGTTTGTTAAGGACGGACGCGGTGGAGTTGAGACTAACGCGGTGAGAGCGAGTGAAGTCGTAGGGATAATCAGAAGCGTCTGATCAAGGCAGTCGTGCGCTGGAGAAGTAGAATCCACGAAATGGGGATGGATCATAGAGGCACCGTACTGGACCACATTTCACCGAGTTTACGTAGTTCGCTCATTGAAATTCCAACATGTCAAGTGGGCTTATACAGGGCGTATTCGGGTTCGGGCCAAACCTCTGATCAATGATCTGAGGGTCAACCTTGAGCCTTCCGAGGCGACTTCTGGTCCTACACACCTTTGTCGCCTGACTGGCTTGGAGCTTCCGAGCGGAGTCCCGAATACGCCCTAGAGTGAGTTGAGAGCGACACCCGAGACAGGACAGGACCTTATGCAATATCTTTTGATGTTCTTGGGAACTCCGTTTTGTCTCAGAGCGGGTCTTGGAAACTGTTTTTCATGATTGGGGGTGTGGTGTCAAGTTGGCAATCTCGAGGTTTTACAGCCTATTGTCAACAACTTCCCACCGTAACTCATCCATGCCAATCTAGTTTTAACCCTACAGAATCGTGACTAACCCCTTGAAAAAGGTGATTCTGCCGGCGATTGAACATCTTGGTCTGCTGATAACGCCTGTGACCAAGCCAAGCCCAGCCCATCGTCGTTCTGCTCTTCTTCTGTTGCTCCTCCCATCTATGGTTTATTTTCCAATTTCTGCTCGTCTGCCGTACTTTTCTTACGAGTACAACTGGTAATCTCCTGCGAGCACATGCTCGCGCGTTTGCATTGAGCGTTCGTAGCTCGCATTCTATGGCGCGAGAGACAAAAGGTCAAGCAGCACAAATTTACTACGCAGCGAGCCAGTCCTCCAGAACTTGTCTAGAACCTTACCGAATTGGCATTTCAGAAAAGTTATACACACAGTAAGGGTAAATCTGCGGACGACTAGCTTAGGCGTTTCATTACGGTTCATTTCGGTTCTGAGGGCTTCGGTAGCTAAGAGGAAAGGAGGGAAGGCATCCGGCGTTGCGATTCGCTTCTGAGAATTTCTTGCCATTGTTCTTGGAGATTAAGATTTACTAGACGAGCGGAAGAAATTTCAGAAGGAGGCGAAAAGTATTTCTGAGGCGCCTCAAAAGAGGGAATGCTGAGAGAATGCGGAAGAGCAGCGGACCCCACCGATCGGCGGAGCGATCCGCGCAATCCCCGGAGGCAATACACGACCTTTACGGGGCCCCGCAATTCGCAAATGCGGCAGCGAATCACGCCGGAGAGGAGCGGTATTACGATCATGCGCCACCTATAGGAGTAGAACGAGGAGGGAATGTTGCTCCGCCTCGGCGGTCCCGCAGCATCTCCCCGGCCGTGGGGGAGGGGAACATGGCGCGCGGAAACGGGGAGCGCGCGGGGGGGAGCTTGGCGGCGGGTATGGTGATGGGGGAAGTTAAGAACCACACGGGGAGGGTCAAGGACTTGGGTAGGGCTAGAAGCGGTATGGCGGAAGCAGACATGGATCATGCACGGACAGGTGCGGATATGGTTCAAGGGAGGGTGTATAGAAAAATGGCGACGGAGCGAGAGAGAGGGAAGGAGGCGGAGCGGGTGAGACAGCGCGACCTCGAAAGGGGGATTTACCTTGGAGATTTCGACAGATCTGTGACGGAAACCGCGACTGAGAGGGCGCAATCGGGTGGTTTATCCTGGAATAATGTGGGCCGAGCGCATGAGCTGCTGGATAGGCCGCCTACCGGGTCATTAGGGGTGGAAAGGATGAGGCGGAGGGAGAAAGGAGCAGAGGCGCGACGAGAGGCGGAGAGGGAGGGGGTGAGGGGGAGGGCGAGAGATGGGGTTAGGTCGGGGGTTGGGGAAGAGGCGGATGTGATGGGAGGAGGGGGTGATTATAATGAAGGGGGGGATGAACAGTATTTGCGCATGGCGACGTGTGATTCGTCGGTGCGACCAGGGAGGAGCAGGGGTGGAGGTGTGCGAGGAGGGCAGGGTGGGGTTGGTGGCGAATGGGAATGTGACACGTCAGCTGGGAGAGAGGAGGAGGAGGAATCGGAAGGGGATTCTGAAGAAGACATGGGATTGCGGACAAAAGCAGCAAGTTGGCAGAAGCAGCAGCAGCAGCAGCAGCAGGGATACGATGCCTCAGCTGCTGCTCACTCTGCCTCCGCCTCTGCTGTCTCTCATTCCTCTGGTGGTCCCCGTCGGATCCAGCACAGTGCAACAGCAGGGGAGGCAGGAGGCAGGGAGAGGAGGCGAGGGAAGGTACTGGGAAGCGCAGGGGAGAAACGTGGTGGGGGGTTGGGTGGTGCAGGGGAGGAAGAGGATGAGGGAATCAGCAGCGATCATCTGACAAGAATAGCCGCCCAGATGATGGGGTTTGAAGATGGGGAGGACGGGCAGATCGGGCAGATCGGGCAGGTCGGGCAGGACGGGCAGGAAATGTTTTTGCAGGAACCAAGGCAGGGGGAGCTGATTGGTCCATCCGCCCTGCTACCGCCGAGCCACAGCTCCTCCCGACCCTCTTCCATCTGCAAGGCACACTCGGCCTCGGCCAAGCCTGCGAAATCCGGAGGCTCGGCAGCAGGTTCGGGAACCGGCATTGTTAGTGACAGTCATTTTGTTGAGGACCTGCTTCAGCTGGGGTTGAATGATTCGCGGTTAAGGGACTGGGCTGCCAGGTTCAAAGCAGGGCAGACAGACAGACGGGAGCTGCAGACACTGCTACTGGAGCTTCAGGAAAAGCAGAGGTTGCAAGGGGCGGGAGAAGGAGCAGTTGGGACGGGAGAGGAATGGATGGGAGGGTATGCGGTGGGGGCAGATGATGCAGAGGGAGTGGCAGAGTCCGTTGCAGCAGCTGCTGCTGGTTCAGGATTAGGGTTAGGGTTTATGGGGGGTTCCAGGCCTAGATCTTCCTCTCGTAGGCTTGCCAGTAGCAGTGGCGTCCGAAGCAGGCCAACTTCGTCGTCGTACCACAACCGAACCCAGCGGGCCGGGCACGCCAGGTTCGGCAGCAGCATAGGCTTGGGAACAGGCCTGGGCGGGTTGGTCTCGGGAGCAGGCTCGGGAGACGCCTTGGAGGGGTCCGGTTCGGAGGGTGGGTCGGACGCGGAGGATTTTTTGACATCAGTTCCCCCTTCGGCTCTAGACGTTCTGCAGGGCAGCGGGCAGGCGAAAAAGAAACCTCCAACCGGAAATTGGAAGAGCCCTCTTTCAGGAGCAACACCAGGAGAATCCTCAACCTCGTCTGGCGTTCCCTCTGCGCGATCTGGACCGTTAATCTCATCAGGATCGGTCCCATCAAGATCCCGAGGGACATCTGCAGCGTCAATTCTAAGGCATGGAAGCTGGGAGCAGAGGGAGTTTGCACAGCTGGCAGAGCAATTCGGGCTGGATGCAGAAGAGGAGGGGCTGGGCGGTTTGGTGGAGGATGGGAGACAGCCAGGTGGTGTGGGCGGACCTGGGGCAGGTTTATCCGGTGTAGGTGGGAGGTGGATTGGGAAGAGCAGCTCAGTTCCCGAGGCAGGTCCGTCTGGAGGCTCATGGGGGAGTCCTGGGGTAGTGGGAGGGGTGGGAGGAGTAGGATTGGGAGGAAAAGGAGGCGTGGAAGGAGTGGGAGACACAGAAGATGAGGTACAAGGGGGAGGAGCAAATGGAGTGGTGGAATCAGGGGCTATTGCTGCTACAGCGGGTGGTGGTGGTAGGGGTGGTGGTGACTTGTACGGGGGAGGAGTTCAAGGAGGAGGGTTGGCAGATCTGTATGGCAGTGATAGGATGGCTGCTGCTGCTTCTGCTACAGCTGCTTCTGCTGGTGGTGGTGGTTCTGCTGCTGCCGGTGTAGGCAAAACGGCTGCTTCTGCTGGTGCTGCTGCTCATACTGGTGACCTTTATGCAGCAGTCTCACCGCCACAATCATTCCCACCTCCACCGAACCTACCTCCTCCACACCCATCTGCACCACTCCCACCAGCATCCTCCCTCTCCAGAAAACCCCCTCAGCCAAGGCTCCCCCGTGCCTTTTCTGCAGACACAGTAAACGCCCCTTTCCCCCGCTCTCATCCAGGAGAGGGAGAGATATCGGGCGTGATATCGGGAGCGAGAGAGGGAGAAGCAGATGGAGTGGGAGAGCTACGGGGAGCAGAGGAAGGGATCTTGTCCTTAGAGAGGAATCTGAGCCTTCCGTCACCGAAGCCGGTCGTACAGGTGGAGGAGGCTTCATTCGATCGCAACCTGTCGCTGCACAATGTGATCAAGAAGCGGATCAGCAGCCACGCTGGGGAGGTGGGGCAGCAGTTTGCCCGCCTCTCCACTCTCCTCAAGAAGTCATGTGAGTGATGCTGCCCCTCTTGTTCCCAAAAAATTGCTTTCCTCTCCCACCAAGTTGCTTTCCTCTCCCCCGTTCTCAAGCCTGGTTGTGATGTGCCCCTTCCCCACCACCAACCTGTCGCTGCACAATGTGATCAAGAAGAGGATCAGTAGTAGTTTGCAGTAGTTGTGCCGGGGAGGTGGGGCAGCACTTTGCCCGCCTCTCCACTCTCCTTAAGAAGTTATGTGAGTGTGCCCCTCTCCCATTCCCACCCTCCCAATGCCTGTGTGCTCCACCCTGCGCTGCCCCTTCATCGTCTCTCGCTCCTGTCTATCCCTTTCCATTCATACACTCCTGCCCTGCCCACCCACTTGCTTTCCAGCGTCCACACCCAACGCACCTGGCATTGGTGGCAGTGGAGCAGCAGGCAGGGGTCATTTCTCATTCTCACCTGGGGCACTTTCAGTTGCCTTCATATTCTTCCCTGTCCGCCCTTACACTCCTGTCCTCCCATGCTTGCTTGCTTGCCTGCCAGCATCCACACCCAATGCACTTGGGAGTGGGGGCAGTGGAGCATCAGGCAGGGGGTAATTTTCATTTTCACCTGGAGCATCAGGCAGGGGGTAATTTTCATTTTCACCTGGAGCAATCTCATTCCCTTGCTCCCCCCCCCCACCCCCCCCCCCCCCCTCTCCACCCTTTATTCCTGTCCTCCCCTGCTTGCTTGCTTGCTCGCCAGCGTCCACACCCAACGCACCTGGCGTTGGCGGCAGTGGAGTATCCTCAGGGGGCAGACTACATTCGCATTTTCTTCTTGCTCATTCTCTCCTCTCCTCTCCTCCCTCTCCCTGTCCGCCTACACTCCTGCCCTGCCCTGCTCTTCTTGCTCGCTTGGTTTGCAGCATCCACACCCAATGCACCTGGTGTTGGCGGCAGTGGAGCATCATCAGGGGGCAAGCGGCCAGCGCAGGAAGGGAAGAAACCTCCCAAGCCAGCCAAGTGCGGATCAGACAGGCCCTCCAGTGGCAACCCACTTGCCAGGTGTGTGTGTTCTCTTCTCATCATCCATCCCTAATGCACCTGGGAGTGTGGGCAGTGGGGCATCATCAGGGGGCAAGCGGCTGGCACAGGAAGGGAAGAAACCACCCAAGCCAGCCAAGAGCGGATCAGACAGACCGTTCAGTGGCAAGCCACTCGCCAGGTGCGTGTGTAATCGTCTCATGATTTACACCCAACGCACCTGCCAGTGCCGGCAGTGGGGGCAGTGGGGCATTATCAGGGGGCAAGCGACGGGCACAAGAGGAAAGAAACCATCCAAACCAGCCAAAAGCGGATCAGACAGGCCGTCCAGTGGCAACCAACTCGCCAGGTGTGTAATGGATGGAGGTGACTGATGAGTCGACTCAAAGAGGACACCCTGGTGCAGGAAGGAAGGGAAGAAACCACCCAAGCCAGCCAAGAGCGGATCAGACAGGCCGTCCAGTGGCAACCCACTTGCCAGGTGTGTGATGGATGGAGGTGTCTGATGAGTCGACTCAAAGAGGACACCCTGGTGCAGGAAGGATGGGAAGAAACCACCCAAGCCAGCCAAGAGCGGATCAGACAGGCCGTCCAGTGGCAACCCACTCGCCAGGTGCGTGTGTTCTCTTATCAGCATCCGCCCATAATGTTGTGAGCACAGCACAGCAACGGCAACAGCAGGGAGCAAGCGACCAGCGCGGGAGGGAAGGGAGGAAACCACCCAAGCCAGCCAAGAGTGGATCAGACAGGCCGTCCAGTGGCAAACCACTCGCCAGATGTGCAATTTTGTTTTGTTGGTTCTTCTCACTGCCGAACCTCTCTCTCCCTTTCTTCCTGTTTTTCCATTCCGACCTTGCTTCTCCCTCTTGATCATGAATGTGGACGGGTTATGTGCATGTGCAATTGTGTATGCGTGCAGTTTATTTATAGTGAGTCTGTACCTGTAAATGCTACAAATAAGGTACATTCGTGTATTACCCCTGGTAGTGAGTTACCGTTGCTACCATTACAATGGTTCGCTCGTTCTCTTTTTTTTGCACTAAGGAGATCATTCCACCTGAAACCCCCCCTTCGTTCCCCTCCATCAGAACATCGTCTCTTGCAGCAGAGTTTTGAGATTTGCCAGCACCCAAGAGAGTCCTTACATACTCAAGGCACTATCTTCATTTTACCCTCCAATCTTCATTTTACCCTCCAATCTTCATTTTACCCTCCAATCTTCATTTTACCCTCCAATCTTCATTTTACCCTCCAATCTTCATTTTACCCTCCAATCTTCATTTTACCCTCCAATCTTCATTTTACCCTCCAATCTTCATTTTACCCTCCAATCTTCATTTTACCCTCCCATCTTCCTCCTTCCCCCCAACCCAACCCTCTCCTGCCCTCAAACTCTCCCCTTTCCCCCAATCCTCTCATTCCCCGCAGAACATCGTCTATTGCAGCCGAGTTTGGCGATTTACCAGCACCCAAGAGAGTCCCTCAATGCAAACCCAATCCTCCTCTTTCCCTCCAAGCAACCTTCCCCCCCCTTCGCCCCAACCCTCTCTCTCATTCCCCTCAGAACATCGTCTATTGCAGAAGAGTTTGGCGATTTGCCAGCACCCACAAGAGTCCCTCATACCCGAAACCCAATCCTCCTCTTTCCCTCCAAGCAACCTTCCCCCTTCGCCCCAACCAACCCTCTCATTCCCCTCCATCAGAACATCATCTATTGCTGCAGAGTTTGGCAATTTACCAGCGCCCAAGAGAGTCCCTCAATACCGGAAACCCGATCCTTCTTTTCCACTCCAACCTCCCCCTGTCGCCCCAACCCTCTCTATCGTTCCCTCAGAACATCGTCTATTGCAGCAGAGTTAGGCGATTTACCAGCACCCAAGAGAGCCGTACAAACTCAACACCCAATCTTCCTTTTTCCCTCCAATCTCCCTCCTTCCCCACAACCTTCTCCTGGCCTCAATCCCTCCCCTTCGCCCCAACCAACCCTCTCATTTCCCTCGGAACATCATCTATTGCAGCAGAGTTTGGCGGTTTGCCAGCACCCAAGACAGCCCATAATCAAGAGCTTGCCCCTGACCCGGCCCATCACCCCAACCCTCCCTTTTTACCCCAACCCCCTCGTTCATTTCCCTCAGGACATCATCTATTGCTGCAGAGTTTGGCGATTTGCCAGCACCCAAGAGAACGCACTATCAATACTCGGAGCTGCAGGTGTGTCTCAAATCAGCTTATAGCATGATCAGTAACTGGATTGGATTGGATGTGCCATGAAGTGTAGTTCAGTGCGCGCACACACAATCTTGGTGTTTTTCTCACAGTTTTGTAAATTTTATTGCAGCCCACAGATCTTTCCGTTCTCCCGTTTCCAACCCCTCGTCCAATCTGCCATTGCCAGCTGGCGACTGAGAATTTTAATGAGGCCAACGTGTTGGGGCAGGGCGGATTCGGGAAGGTGTATTATGGCGTGCTGCCTGTGCACCCCGCTCAGGTGAGAAATGCTGCACCGTTCAGGTGATAATGCAGATACTTCAGGTTACAGTAATGCGCTGCTATGGGGCAGGGCGGATTCGGGAAGGTCTACTATGGCGTGCTGCCTGTGCACCCTGCTCAGGTGATAATTCAGAAGTTTCTTCTGGGTACAGTATCGTGCTTGTACGGGGCAGGGCGAGCAGGTTTGGGAAGGCGTATTATGGCATGCTGCTGGTGCACCCCGCTCAGGTGAGAAAGTATGTGCTTTGTCTATACCGTGTGGTTCGTAATCGGATCAAAGCGACTGCTATGGAGCAAGGCGGGTTTGGTAAGGTGTATTATGGCGTGCTGCCAGTGCACCCCGCTCAGGTGAGAAAGTATGTGCTTTGTCTATACCGTGTGGTTCGTAATCGGATCAAAGCGACTGCTATGGAGCAAGGCGGGTTCGGTAAGGTGTATTATGGCGTGCTGCCAGTGCACCCCGCGCAGGTGAGTCAGTAAATGCTTGTAGTTACAGTTACTGGAGCGGAGCGGGGCCAATGCTACTGGGGGCAGGAGGGTTTTGGAGGAAGGTGTATTATGGCGTGCTGCCCGTGCACCCCGCTCAGGTGAGAAATCAGATGTTACTGGATATACAGTATCGTGCTGCTATGGGGCAGGGCGGATTTGGGAAGGTCTAGTTATTCTGACATGCTGCCAGTGCACCCCACTCTCAGGTGAGGTTTCAATACCTTTGAAATAGGATACTTTTTGATACAGTGTTGTGGTGCTATGGAGCAGGGCGGATTCGGTTCGGGAAGGTCTAATATGGCATGCTGCCTGCCATGTATTTTTGAGTGTGTGTACAGACTTTTTATCATACCTATATAGTACGCCCTCCATTTTTACCGCAAATCGCCCTCTCTCTCACTCTCTCTCCACCCATCAGGTGGCGGCAGTGAAGGTGCTGAAGCAAGGAGGAGGGGAGCAGGGCGATTATGAGTTTGTCTCTAGACCCTTGCTTGTATTGTATATGCATCACGCATACCGTGACCTTATGTTTAACACTTTGCCCTGTGAAACCCATCAGGTGGCGGCAGTGAAGGTGCTGAAGCAAGGAGGAGGGGAGCAGGGCGATTATGAGTTTGTCTCTAGACCCTTGCTTGTATTGTATATGCATCACGCATACCGTGACCTTATGTTTAACACTTTGCCCTGTGAAACCCATCAGGTGGCGGCAGTGAAGGTGCTGAAGCAAGGAGGAGGGGAGCAGGGCGATTATGAGTTTGTCTCTAGACCCTTGCTTGTATTGTATATGCATCACGCATACCGTGACCTTATGTTTAACACTTTGCCCTGTGAAACCCATCAGGTGGCGGCAGTGAAGGTGCTGAAGCAAGGAGGAGGGGAGCAGGGCGATTATGAGTTTGTCTCTAGACCCTTGCTTGTATTGTATATGCATCACGCATACCGTGACCTTATGTTTAACACTTTGCCCTGTGAAACCCATCAGGTGGCGGCAGTGAAGGTGCTGAAGCAAGGAGGAGGGGAGCAGGGCGACAGGGATTTTGTCTTGAGACCCTTGTGTGTGTGTGCGCGTATCATGAATACAGGGACCTTTTGTCTTACCGTTTGCCCTGCGAAACCCCCTCCCTCTGACCATCAGGTGGTGGCAGTGAAGGTGCTGAAGCAAGGAGGAGGGGAGCAGGGAGACGAGGAGTTAGGCTCTAGACCCGTGTGGGTGTGTGGGACCTTATGTTGTGCCCTCTACATACCGCAAATCGCCCTCCCTTCTTCTCACCACCCATCATCAGGTGGTGGCACGGCAGTGAAGGTGCTGAAGCAAGGAGGAGGGGAGCAGGGAGACGAGGAGTGTGTCTGTAGACTCGTGTATGTGTGTAGGGATCCTAAACCCGAAACCCTTAACCCTGTATACTATTAATTCCTTGTACTGCAAGTGCCACTCCTCTTACCATCAGGTGGTGGCAGTGAAGGTGCTGAAGCAAGGAGGAGGGGAGCAGGGCGACGAGGAGTTTGTGACAGAACTGGAGCTGCTGAGTCGACTAGAGCACAAACACCTGGTGAGTGGGGAGAGGGAGGGATGGGATACTGAGGTTGAGTGGTGGGAGAGGTACGATAGGGGTGAGCAGGATAGAGGGGAGCAGGATGGAGGGGAGCAGGGAGACGAGGAGTTTGTGACAGAACTGGAGCTGCTGAGTCGGCTAGATAGAGCACACACACCTGGTGAGTTGAAAGGGAGGAAGATTCCAGAGTTGGTAGTGGGATGGGAAGTAGGATAGAGGTGAGCAGGATAGAGTGGAGGGGAGCAGGATGGGGGGGAGCAGGAGGAGGGGAGCAGGGAGACGAGGAGTTTGTGACAGAACTGGAGCTGCTGAGTCGATTGGACCACAAACACCTGGTGAGTGGGAGAGGTTGGTGCTGGAAGGATTGGAGTATGCAGGATAGATAGGGAGGGGTTGGTGCACAAATGAGGGAGGGGAGCAGGGCGACGAGGAGTTTGTAACATAGCTAGAGCTGCTCAGTCGGCTAGAGCACAAACACCTGGTGAGTTGGAGGTGGAGGGAGGGAGGGAGAATATTGAGAAGAAGCAGAGCGAGATAGAAAGCTGGATAAAGGGAGCTGGGTCTTGGGGAGGGGAGCAGGGAGACGAGGAGTTTGTGACAGAGCTAAAGCTGCTGAGTTGACTGGAGCACAAGGTGAGAGGGAAAGGAGGAAGAATCCAGAGTAAGTGGTGAGGCAGGATATAGGTGAGTGGGATAGAAAGGGAGGGGAGCAGGGCCTTGGGGTTTTGTTCTCGTTTATTCTTTCTTTCCCTATGGCACCTTCCTCTTCCCCTCCCTCCCTCTTTGTCTCCCGCAGGTGAAGCTGATGGGATACTGCATGCGTCAGGGTGCGATTGTGTTTCGAGTCTACTCAGAAGAGCGGCTTTCTTTAACAGTAACACCTTTCGTTTTCCCCTTCCTCCCCCTTCATCTCCCAGCAGGTCAATCTGATGGGGTACTGCATGCGGCGCTATTAACGGCTGCTGGTGTAACTGTATCAGCACAGCGCAGCTGGCTTGACAATGTTATCAGATTGTCTCTTCCCCTTGATCCCCCCTTGATCTCCCTTTGATTTCCATGCAGGTGAAGCTGATGCGGCGCTATCAACGGGTGCTGGTGTGCTGTGTCTGCTGGCTTGACAACGTTAAACAAGTTGCACCTTGGCTCTCCCCCTTCCTTTCCCCTCCCTTCCTCCTCCCCTTGCTCCGCCATTTTATCCTCCTGCAGGTGAAGCTGATGGGGTACTGCATGCGAAAGGATCAACGGCTGCTAGTGTACGAGTTTCTGCCCAATGGCAGTCTCGCTGACCACTTGCACGGTGTGTGTCTGTCTCACCTGCTTGGTTTTCTTTCATTCTATTTTCCTGTGCTGCTATGTTGCTGTGCTGCCAGTCTACGAGTTTCTGCCCAATGGATGCCTTACCGACCACCTGCACGATGTGTGGTATGCAGGTGGTCTGCTCTACTGCTCTGCTGCTCTGCTCTGCTGCTCTGCTCTGCTGCTCTGCTCTGCTGCTCTGCTCTGCTCTGCTCTGCTGCTCTGCTCTGCTTCTGTGCTCTGCTTCTGTGCTCTGCTGCTGTGCTGCACGCTTAGTAATAGGCTGCTGCTGCTGTTTTGCACTGTTGCTGGCAACAAGATGCAAGCTTGTCAATCTTGGAGACTTATCCAATAACACGAATATGGAAAGAGCACATCTCCGTTCCCCACCTCCTCGTCTTACACCCACTCCTCCCTAAAAATATTTTGTTCTTCAATTTTCTCTCCCTTATTTAATCAGGGTCGTTTCTCTCCTTCCTTTTTCCCTCTCCCAACCGCCAGGCCGCAAGGTCAGGCAGAACGGCCCCTTGTCGTGGGAGAAGCGGCTGAAGATTGCCGTTATGACATTGTAGAGAACTAAGCCATTTCCTGTGTTATTATCTGTCCGCCCCTCTGTTCCTTCTCTCCACCAGGCAAAAAGGTCACGCAAAACGGGCCATTGTCGTGGGAAAAGCGGCTGATAATAGCCGTTATGGCACTGTGGAAACATAAGCCGTTTCCTGCGTTGTTATCTGTCCGCCCCTCTGTTCCTTTCTCTCCACCAGGCAAGAAGGTCAGGCAGAATGGCCCCTTGTCGTGGGAGAAGCGGCTGAAGATTGCTGTTGGATCAGCAAGGGGCTTGAGGTACCTTCATTCTCAGAGACCTCAGGTGCTGCACCGAGACGTGAAGTCGCCCAACATACTCATCACTGACAGCTACGTGGCCAAGGTGATTGGTGGTTACTTTTAGTTGGACCCGCAAAGGGGTCGAGGTACCTCCCGTGCACTCTCAGAGACCACGGGTGCTGCTCCGAGACGTGAAGTCGCCCAACATACTCATCACTGACAGCTACGTGGCCAAGGTGATTGGTGGTTACTTTTAGTTGGACCCGCAAAGGGGTCGAGGTACCTCCCGTGCACTCTCAGAGACCACGGGTGCTGCTCCAAGACGTGAAGTCGCCCAACATACTCATCACTGACAGCTACGTGGCCAAGGTGATTGGTGGTTACTTTTAGTTGGACCCGCAAAGGGGTCGAGGTACCTCCCGTGCACTCTCAGAGACCACGGGTGCTGCTCCGAGACGTGAAGTCGCCCAACATACTCATCACTGACAGCTACGTGGCCAAGGTGATTGGTGGTTACTTTTAGTTGGACCCGCAAAGGGGTCGAGGTACCTCCCGTGCACTCTCAGAGACCACGAGTGCTGCTCCGAGACGTGAAGTCGCCCAACATACTCATCACTGACAGCTACGTGGCTAAGATATGCATGGCTGGCTGGTGGTAGTGGCGTACTGGTATGTGAGCTGTTGCCATGCCAAGGGAGTGGAGTGAGGTACCTGCACTCTCCATCAGAGACCACAGGTGCTGCATCGAGATGTCAACTCGCCCAACATACTCATCACTGACAGCTACGTGGCTAAGGTGTGGAATGGTAGTGGCGCACTGGTATGTGAGCAGTTGTGTTGTGTTGCCAAGATATGTATGGCACTGAAATGGAATGTGTCTCCTTCACCCCACACGTATCGTCCCTCCAGGTGGCGGACTTTGGGTGTGCGAAGCTGATCAAGCAAACTATCTTGGTGGAGGACCCCAACACGGGCGAGATGGTGGAGATGCTCGGGGAGAACTTCGCGTCCCTCTCTCTTTCCCATCTCTCCGTCTCTTTCCCATCTCTCCGTCTCTTTTCCATCTCTCCCTCACTCATGCACCACCCCACCCATCCTCCTCTCCCTCCAGGTGGCGGATTTTGGGTGTGCGAAGCTGATCAAGCAAACCATTCTCGTTGAGGACCCCAACACGAGCGAGATGGTGGAGACGCTGGGGAGAAGAGAACCACCACCTCCCTCTCTCTTCTCCCCACCCTGTTGCACTCTTTCACTTCCCCCTCACTCCTCTTCTTGGCTTGGTAATACACCCCAACCCCCTGCTTTCAGGTGGCGGATTTCGGGTGTGCGAAGCTGATCAAGCAGACGATTCTGGTTGAAGATCCCAACACAGGCCAGATGGTGGAGACGCTGGGGGAGAACGTGGACGTAGCAATGGGCACACACGGGCACATGGCCCCTGAAATACTGATGACCGGAGAAATTAGCGCTGCTACGGACGTGTACAGGTATGTACGGGGGTGCTTATGGATAGAGGGGATAGACATTTTAGAACGGGAGGATGCGAATGCAGCCATAGTCACGCACGGCCCTATGGCCCCTGAGATTCTGATGGCTGGCGAGATCAGCGCTGCCACGGACGTTTACAGGTGAGATTTGATTTGATTGAAGAACCAACGACCAGGACAGCCCAGCAAGGGAGATGGTGGAGACGCTAGGGGAGAACGTGGATGTGGCGATGGGCACTCACGGGCACATTGCCCCTGAGATACTCATGACCGGGGATCAGCGCTGCTACGGACGTGTATAGGTATGGACGATGGGGTTGCTTTTATTGGGGACGGACAGTCATAGAAGGAGAGAACGTGGGTGTGGCAATGGGCATGCACGGGCACATGGCCCCTGAGATACTGATGACGGGGGAGATCAGCGCTGCTACGGACGTGTACAGGTATGGAATTTTGTGCTTGTGGAGGGGAATGCTTGTGGAGGGGAATGCTTGTGGAGGGGAATGCTTGTGGAGGGGAATGCTTGTGGAGGGGAATGCTTGTGGAGGGGAGTGCTTGTAACGTGGAAGTAGCGATGGGCATGCACGGGCACTTGGCCCCTGAGATTCTGATGACGGGGGAGATCAGCGCTGCTACTGATGTGTACAGGTAGGCACAAATGAGTGTGCTTCTAAAGGGGACAACCAGGAGAGATGGTGGAGACGCTGGGGGAGAACGTGCATGTGGCAATGGGCACACAGTGGTTGTTGCTGTTGTTGGTTGTTGCTGGTCAATAACACATACGCAATGGGCACACAGTGGTGTATTTTGAGGCGCCTCAAAATACACCTCAATGCAAGTGGTTGTTGCTGGTCAATAACACATACGCAATGGGCACACAGTGGTGTATTTTGAGGCGCCTCAAAATACACCTCAATGCAAGTGGTTGTTGCTGGTCAATAACACATACGCAATGGGCACACAGTGGTGTATTTTGAGGCGCCTCAAAATACACCTCAATGCAAGTGGTTGTTGCTGGTCAATAACACATACGCAATGGGCACACAGTGGTGTATTTTGAGGCGCCTCAAAATACACCTCAATGCAAGTGGTTGTTGCTGGTCAATAACACATACGCAATGGGCACACATTGGTTGTTGCTGGTCAATAGCACATAAGCAATGGACACACAGTGGTTGTTGCTGGTCAATAGCACATAAGCAATGGACACACAGTGGTTGTTGCTGGTCAATAGCACATAAGCAATGGGCACACAGTGGTTGTTGCTGGTCAAGAGCACATAAGCAATGGGCACACAGTGGTTGTTGCTGGTCAATAGCACATAAGCAATGCGCACACAGTGGTTGTTGCTGGTCAATAGCACATAAGCAATGGGCACACAGTGGTTGTTGCTGGTCAATAGCACATAAGCAATGGGCACACAGTGGTTGTTGCTGGTCAATAGCACATAAGCAATGGGCACACAGTGGTTGTTGCTGGTCAATAGCACATAAGCAATGGGCACACAGTGGTTGTTGCTGGTCAATAGCACATAAGCAATGGGCACACAGTGGTTGTTGCTGGTCAATAGCACATAAGCAATGGGCACACAGTGGTTGTTGCTGGTCAATAGCACATAAGCAATGGGCACACAGTGGTTGTTGCTGGTCAATAGCACATAAGCAATGGGCACACAGTGGTTGTTGCTGGTCAATAGCACATAAGCAATGGGCACACAGTGGTTGTTGCTGGTCAATAGCACATAAGCAATGGGCACACAGTGGTTGTTGCTGGTGAGGGGAGCTTCTTGTTGGTGAGGGGAGCTTCTTGTTGGTGAGGGGAGCTTCTTGTTGGTTGTTGCTGGCTGGTCACATACACATGCCATTCCCACTCCCTCTCTCCCTCTCTCCCACGCCCCTCTCTCAGCTCAGCTTGGAGTGGTATTTCTGCTGACCCTTACACCCTATTGGCTCACCTTCATCACCCTCCACTCCCCACCACACCCCCTTGTAATGCCATGCATGCCCCCACTCCGTCGCTCCCTCTCTCCCCTGCTCCCCTCTCAGTTTCGGAGTGGTGCTGCTGGAACTGACAGCCTGTTGACTCGTCTTCAACACCACCCACTCCCCACACCCTTCGTAATGCTATGTCCCCACTCCTGCTCTCCCTCGCTCCGTTTCTCCCCTGCCTCCCTCTCAGCTTCGGAGTGGTGATGTTGGAATTATTGAGTGGCAGAGTGCCCGGGTTTGAAGACGGCACGATGCTGACACATTGGGTGAGTGACGGGTGGCTCTTTTCTTGTGGTTGCGTGCTGTGAGTCAAGGCGATATCGTTGGGTGGTGCTGGTCACAAGGCATAGGGATGGTGGTGTGACCAGCACCACCCAACCATGTGGTGTTGTTGCTGAAGATTCTGAGAGGCAGAGAGCCGGTGTTTCAGGATGGCACGCTGCTCACACATTGGATGAGTGAGGGGTGCTTCTTGTTGGTTGTTGCTGGTCACATGCACGCATAACGATAGCACTGGTTGCTGCTGAAGATTCTGAGAGGCAGAGTGCCGGTGTTTCAGGATGGCACGCTGCTCACACATTGGGTGAGTGAGGGGTGCCTCTTGTTGGTTGTTGCTGCTGGTTGCTGGTTGCTGCTGAAGATTCTGAGAGGCAGAGTGCCGGTGTTTCAGGATGGCACGCTGCTCACACATTGGGTGAGTGAGGGGTGCCTCTTGTTGGTTGTTGCTGCTGGTTGCTGGTTGCTGCTGAAGATTCTGAGAGGCAGAGTGCCGGTGTTTCAGGATGGCACGCTCCTCACACATTGGGTGAGTGAGGGGTGCCTCTTGTTGGTTGTTGCTGCTGGTTGCTGGTTGCTGCTGAAGATTCTGAGAGGCAGAGTGCCGGTGTTTCAGGATGGCACGCTGCTCACACACTGGTTGAGTCTGGTTTGTTGAGGCCTGCTTGCTGGTGATGATCCTTGGTGTGGTTCTTTTTTCGTGTGGTGCTTGCACATCGGTTGAATGAGGTCCAGACATAGCTCAGTGAGCTCTCTTCCTGAGTTGGCACATCGGTTGAATGAGGGAATGCTGTTGTGTGTTGGCAGCTTTGCCTGAGTTGGCAGCTTTGCCTGTGTTTGGGAACTCCAACACTCACAGGCCACTCATTCCCCCTCCCTTCCCCTCCCTCCCCCGCCCTCCCCATCCTTTTCCCACACACCTTTCAGGCCACACCATTCCTGAAAGACAAGAGGTGGGATGAGCTGATCGTTCCTTCCATGCCTGTTGCTCACACTCCCTTTCCTCTTAGTTGACTTCGCACCTCCTCCCCCACCTGCCTCCACTTCCCACCCCACCCTTCTCCCACACACCTTTCAGGCCACACCATTCCTGAAAGACAAGAGGTGGGATGAGCTGATAGATCCTTCCATGCTTGCCGGTCACACACCAGAAGGAGGAGGAGGCGAAGGAGGGGTGACAGGTGGCACCGGCGCCGGAGCCAGTGCCGATGCTGATGTGGCCCTGCCCAGGGTGGCTGCCACGTCAGCGTTTGCTCGGTGCGCTGAGCTGGCGGAGTCGTGCATCCAGTTTGACCCGCTGATGCGGCCGAGCATGGAGGACGTGGCACACACCCTGCAAGCGATCCAATTAGGTACGTATTAGGCAATTCATGTACGTACTTCATCTTATAAAAGGAAGAAGACCATGTAGGATCTATTTCGCATGAGGTGTGACTCTTGAGGTGGATGCTGACTGACTGATGCAGCCGACCATGAAGGACGCGGCACACACCCTGCAGGCGATCCAATTAGGTAACTCTTAACTTAAGAAGGCGCAGTTTCTATTTGTAAGGTGGTGTATCGTGTAAGGTAGTGTTCACATGCTTGACTGATGCGGCCGAGCATGGGGGGCATGGCACACACCCTTCAGGCGATCCAATCAGGTGCGTGTTAGACAATCCATTTAGGCAATCCACTGTAAGGTAGTGTTCACTGTCCACATGCATGCTGCTGCTGCTGATTGATGTGGCCAAGCCTAGAGGGCATGGCACACACCCTTTGGTAACTCTTATGAAGGCACAGTTTGTATTGTGTATGGTGCTGTATCGTGTAAGGTGCTGTATTGTTAGTTGTGGCACGTACTGGGTGCATGGCATGTGGTATTGTTCCTTCATTCTCCACACCAGTTAATAAGATGCTTTTCTGTTCTCCAAATATTTCTTGCACAGCAGCAGCAACGGTAGAGAGTGTTACGCCATCTCACGACTTTCTTTCACCTCACTTGTCTTCCCACATTTTCCGCAGACAAGGATAATCCCTCCCTATTCTCTCAGCCTATCAGACGTAGCAGCAGCAGCAGCAGCAACCCTTCAACCGTCCCAGCAGCAACAGACAGCAGCAGTAATACTGATAACACGATCAGTGGGATCAGCAGCAGCGGCAGCGTCAGCAGCATCGGCAGCAGCGGAAGCATCGGCGGCAGCAGCGCAAGACCTCCTTCCTCCTCCTCCTCCCGTGCCCGACCCTCCTCCTCCCACTCGCAACCTGCCTCCCGAAGCTCGTCAGGTTCGGATGAGGCTCGGATTGTTCGAAGAAACTCTCAGGAAGGTGGTGGGTTTGAAAGAGGAGTGAGCGGTGCAGATGGGTGGGATGAGATGATTGAGGCAGACAAGGAAGGGAGAGAGGGGAGAGAAGGGAGAGAAGGAAGAGAGGGGAGAGAAGGGAAAGGACAGCGGGAGAAAGGAGAGGTGAGGGACAGAGAAACGGGGGGGAAGACAGACAGAGGGTCGAAAAGGGAGAAAGGGGAGAGGCGGAAGGAGAAGGATAAGAGCAGAAGCGGACCAATGGCTTTGGAAGGGAATAGAGTACCCCACTAGTTGACTTTTGAATCGACTAGAAAGTCAACTTGGGAGGGGAAGGAGAAGAGCAGAAGCGGGCCAATGGCTGTGGAGGGAAATAGAAGGTAACCCACTAGGCCTTTGCAAGACGGAAGATCGTGACGTGATACCTGGTTCAACGAATCCGGACAGAACGGCCAGTGTTACGGATGATTCTTCGAATGTGGACAAGAAATGGCGATTGAGCTCTTGGTTCATACGAAATGGCAATGCAATCGCTTGATTCACAGAACATGGACATGAAAGGCAGGCAAATTCATTCAATGTAGGCAAACGACAAAGTGTGGTCGGAGTGCGCAGGATGACATGTTATCATATCACAGGAGGATGAAAGAACCCAACCCATATTGCACATGCTTATGTCCAGTTGCTGCAATGGCAATAGCAATATTACATGTCAGAATCCCAACCACTAGACCATTGGGATAAAAGGGTTTGTTAAGTAGCGGGTCATTGCGCCCATAACCCCCCAAGCCTGTAACCCTTCCCTAGGATCACCAGTAGACTTCTGACACTACAGTACAAGCATTATGGCACAAGACAAGGAATTATTAGTACAAGCATTACCAGGAATGCAAATGCAAGATTGACCGCAATAGCATGGTAACCCTATGAAAACATGTCACCAGCACATTACAGGAGCCCAGGGCTTACTTGTACAGCTCTATCCAAATTGAACATACGGTGTGTAATTCCTCTCAGACAAAAAACGGATTCACTATTTTACACAATGCGGTGCGGGCAGGATAAGATGAAGTATATAGCCCTTCCTCGGTATTTCCCGATCACCAAGGCAGATTCCAAGCAGGCTAACGCCAGCGCCAGTGCTTCATCTGGGTCTGGGCCCACAGAGGTGAAGAACTGGTGAGATAGATAAAGAATCATCAATTTCTCCTACGCACCAGGGCAGTTTCTAACCAACCCAAAGCCATGGCCAGTGCTTCATCTGGGCCCACAATCCCCGTGTCTATCATCAGCTTCAATACCGAACCTGTGGGGTAGGTCCAGCAGCCGTTGTACCTATCCAGCAGTTCTTCTGCCAATGCCCCTTCAAGTTAACCCCTGCCCGCTGCCTTCTGCTTCTTGATCTGATAATCGCTCGCACCAACTGCAACTATTGTACGGTATGAGGCGAAGATCCAAGCGGTGAGATAAAATAAACTACCCTCATTTTCTCCTAATCAACAGGGCAGTTTCTAGCCAGTCTAGAGCCAGCGTCAGTGCTTCATCCGGGCCCACTGTCCCTGTGTCTATCATCAGCTTCGGTACCGAACCTGTGGGGTAGGTCCAGCAGCCATTGTACCTATCCAGCAGTCCCTGCATGTCTTCCCAACAAGCAGGCTTGTGCCATCTCCCCTTCAAGCTACCTGCTGCCTGTTGCTTCTCACTACTCTCACTCTCACTCGCTCTCTCACTCGCTCTCTCACTCTCCCCTCCTCTTTCCTGCACACTCAAGTCATCATCACAGCTCTGTCCAACTACATTTTCCTGATTGCGTTCCGTAACCTGCCTGGCTCCTCCTGTCACCGTTTCACCATGGATTCTTGACGTCTCTAAACTGTCTCTGGCGGTGGTCCGATTGGCCTCTGTGATACAACCGTCAGCAGCAGCTGCTGCTTCTTGTCCGGCAGCTGCTGCTGCAGACGGCCGGCAGCTTTCCGCGGAATTGCCGGCGTTTTCTGACGGTTGATCGTCAGACAGAGCAGCAGCTGCACGCGACTCGATCCTCCGCTTCCACGTGTCCAAATCCGACACGTGGCACTCGATCAAGGCAACCTCAGCCCCGACACGCGTACCGAGAGCCACGCCGGCTTTAAAGAGCGCCTCGTGCGCTAGAGGACAATCGACGACCACGGATAAACCTAGATCTAGCTGGACCTCTGCCATCTGCCACATGGCGTCGTATGATAGGCTGTTCAGCACACGCGCGTCGACGGGAGCCGCGCACGGTCCGTCCGACCGTTCTAGATGCATCGTCGCGTCGCGAAATACGTCCTTGTCGATTAGCGGCCAGCGTAACGATCGCGCGAGGCTTCGAGCGAGTGTGCTTTTACCGCTGCCTGGATGACCCTTCATTAGAAGCAGGACCAAGGAATCCTGGGGGGAAGAGGCAGCTGATACGAGCGCGGAAGGAACAGTAGCCATGCTAAGGGAAATTATTGTTTTGAAATTCTAAAACAGTCTATTCCTAGTCTAGAGCCATCATCATCACGTGGTGTGTGCGCTGCAGAATTTGACTCCACTACTGAGTTATTCCATATAATTACGACATGAAGGTGACGGAGTAGCATTCTTGCTACATTGACACTCGTTTCTTCATTTGAACATGTTCGTTCAATAAAACAGGTTCATTGCAATTAGTAGGAAGCATGGAAAGAGACAACAAAACAAGAAATGGACCCTGTGGAAGTTATTAAACATAACCCCTTCCAGCACAATTCAAGCATTTTTGGATTCTGCACATCCAGACAAAGAACACCCATCGATCGGTATGAGCAATGAAGAAAGAAGGAAAATATATAAAAAAAAGAAAAAAAAAAGAGAAAACATAACAGCACGGAAGCAAAAAAACGGCGACAGACAGTGTAACGCACTTGTTGCCTTTGCAGGTCGGGCATAGGCAAGGTCGAGGCAGCACAGGGTCAGCTAGAGGACTCCACTGAATCTTCCCCGCTGATCGGCACAACTGACACGGGTAAAACCGCTTGCCTTGACACACGGTGCAAGGAGGGGCAGTCTTGGCCTGTGGAGAAAGGGAAGTGGGGTTGAAAGATGGGGGTTTACTGGGGGGGTATGCAAGAAGATGTGCATGGGCAGAATTGTTTTCCCCAAAGATCGACACAACTGACACAGGTAGGACCGCTTGCATTGGCACACGGTGCACGGTGGGGCAGTCTTGGCCTATGTAGGGAAGGGAAGTCTGTTAAAAGATAGAATTAGTGGGCATCTTTGAATGTCTAAAAACACACAGTTGTCAAGGGTACAACAGCTTCGTTTCACACACGGTGCTTGGAGACTTTTGAATCGACTCAAAAGTCACCTTGAAAGATAGGGTTAGTGGGCATCTTTGAATGTCCGAAAACACACAGTTGACTAGGGTTCAACAGCTTCGTTTCACACATGGTGCTTGGACGGCAGTCTAGGGCCAGATGGGAAAGGGAAGTGGGGTAAGACAGGGCACACGGAGGGTATGGGGAGGAAGAATATCGGCAAAAAAAACGCATCCCAAAAAACCCATAAGTGACATGGGTTAAACCAGCTGCCTTGGAAAGACGGTGCAAGGAGGGCCATATTGGGCTATGTGCGAAAGGCAAGTGGAGGTGAAAGATGGTGCTTATGGGAATTATTGAGCCGACTCTTGATACGTCCGAAAAAACACAAATGACAAGGGTAAAACAGCTTCCACTGGCGCATGGGAAAGGGAAGCGAGTTAAAAAGCGGAATTCACACGGAAAAGGGATAGCACATAATGAGAAACATAGGTTAGGAAGGGAGGGAGATACAGAGGGAGAGACGGAGAGAAGGAGAGGGGAAAATAAGAAAGTAGGTAAGTGAGGAAAGGAGGGAGGGAAACAGAAATGCAAGAACGGGAGGGAGGGTGGGGAAAGGGGATTGGAGTGCGGACGCTGTCGATTTTGCTACAGCACCGCAGGCGTAGCCCTCAGACAAAGCAACAACGAGGGCAAGGGGATGGGCCATAGAGAGAGCAGGGTGCAGGGTTGGAGGAAAGGGGGATGGGAAAGTGGGGAGGGACGGGAGGGGGATGAGCAGACGGACTCACTCGTCGTTTCTCCAACACTGCAGTCGCAGCTCTCAAGCAAAGCGACGACATCAGAGAGGGGATGAGCGGGATAATAAGGGGGTGAGGGAAAGGGCGGAACGTAGTAAGTAAGGGGAAGGGGGAGAGAGGGGGATGGGAAGACAGACTCACTCGTCGTTTCTCCAACACTGCAGTCGCAGCTCTCAGGCACAGCGACGACATTAGAAAGGGGATGGGAGGAAAGAATTTTGCAGTGGAGGAGAGGGCGGAACGGAGTAAGAAAGAGGAAGGGGGAGAGAGGGGGACGAGCAGACGGACTCACTCGTCGTTTTTCCAGCACTGCAGTCGCAGCTCTCAAACAGAGCGATGACGCGACGGAAACTGCCACGAAGGCTCCTCCCATGATGCCCACAGTCCGCAGTAACACGCGGTTCATGGCCCGGAGCGGCTCGACAAGCTACTTCTAGACTTCAGATTTATGTCCCTCGAGATTTGTGCCTACTACCAGGCAGCTTCAGAGCAATGGACGCTGACTCAAGAAGCAGTCCGTTGTAACGCGCGGTTCATTGCTCGGAGCGGTTCGACAAGCTACTTCTAAAATCCAGATCAGCCTTTTTGAAGTACTACCAGGCCGCTTCGGATCAATGGCCCCTCCGTAGCTGCTACCAGATTGCGCCGGTTCAATTTCCGGCTCGACTCACATTGTCTAACAACTACCAGACTGTAAAAAATCCAGTGTTATCCTGTTATTGTCGAACGATAGAGCTCCCAGAGGCAAGGCCAGAGACGACGCTTTGGCAGCAAGACGGCTCAAGACAAGAGCCCAGGAGGTGACGGCCTGAAGAGAAATGCCTACGGTCGCGTGTTTAATTACCCAAGTCTGTACCTTCTGTGCCATTTATATAAGTTTTCTAGAGCTTCTGTAGGATTCAGATGATGTGATCGGGTAAGCACTGAAAGTATCGAGTTTCTGTTTTGGCGACTTTGACGAAAGCAACGGGACCAGATTGCATAGGATCGATTTGGCTGCGTTACCAAGGTCACATAACCGCGGAATGTCCAGGTGCAGTGCGAGTCGGAAATATTTCGCCACAGCTCATCTCCTCCTCATTGGTTAATCAGTGTCGCTGATTTCGCCGAGCTCAGCGCCTCACACATTCCCCAGTTACGGTGTTGGTGCGCTTTTCTCAGGGGCTCGCCAAGTTCCTCCATAGTGATAAAACTGTACTCATCCAAGTTCCGCCAAGAACCATGGGTATTTGCTGATCACATCCTCCTGCGCTCCTCCGTTCCCTGCGCCGCGTTCTCTCCTCGAGCCGAGTGAGCAAGGCATGCACCTGAATTTCCCCGCAAGAAATTTAAAGTCTCGACACCACTGCGTATCGTTGGAAACCCATCTCTACCGACTGAGTGCAGCTCGTCGTGTACACCTCAGCTCTGCTCCTCGTCGTTGCACTCGTCCCACGTACTACCGCCGCGCCTTCCTCGCAGTATCCACATCCCGTTCAAATTCACCGTTCCCCGTCCTTCGCGCTCCTCATTTTCCGCCTCTCATTCAACCGCGAACGACGCTGCGACGGCGATCGCGATGTCGCTGCCGCGTCGTCCGCTGGGTCGCACGGGCCTGGACCTCTCGATCGTGAGCTTCGGCGCGTCGCCGTTGGGGAGCGTGTTCGAGGATATCGACGAGGAGGAGGGCGTGCGGGCCGTGCACGAGGCCGTGAAACTCGGAATCAACCTTTTTGACGTCTCGCCGTACGTGTCTCTAGTATAGTAACTCGCGTCAGTCTGGTGTGGCCGTTGGGGAGCGTGTTCGAGGAGATCGGCGAGGAGGAGGGCGTGCGAGCCGTGCACGAGGCCGTTAAACTCGGAATTAACCTCTTTGACGTCTCGCCGTACGTGTCCTTAGTCTAGTTGGTCGTGTCATGTGTCGCTGATAAAAGGTGTGTTCGACGCGATCGATGAGTAGGAGGGCGCGAGGACAGGGGCGGTACGGCCCAGCCCAGATGAGATCGCCTTCAGTGTTTCATCTCCTTGTACCCGTTTTTGAGTCGACTCAAAAACAGATGAGATCGCCTTCAGTGTTTCATCTCCTTGTACCCCTGCTTCCAGGTTCTACGGGTTCCACCCGGGCAGGACGAGTTTGGTTCCAGTGCTTGCTCCCCTCCCCTCCCTCCCTCCGCCTTCTGCTCCCTGCCTGCAGGTTCTATGGGTCTACCTGAGCAGAGACAGGGCTAGGACGGGCTATCGCCACGCTGCCGTGTGCGCGGGGAGACGTGGTGCTTGCCACCAAGGTGGGGCGGTATGGGCAGGCAGGACGAGTTTCACTTGATTGATTCCAGTGCTTCCTGCCCCTCTCTCTCTCTCTCTCTCTCTCTCTCTCTCTCTCTCTCTCTCTCTCTCTCTCTCTCTCTCTCTCTCTCTCTCTCTCTCTCTCTCTCCGCCTTTGCGGCTCTCCACTTTTGCAGGTTCTACGGATCCACACGAGCCGAGACCATACTAGGGCGTGCCATTGCCACCCTGCCCTGCCCGCGGGAGGAGGTGGTTATCGCTACCAAGGTGGGGCGGTACGGGCAGGACGATTTTGACTTCAGTGCTCCATTCCCCTCGCTCTCTCTCCCCCCTTTTCTGTTCCCCCCTCTTCCAGGTTTTATGGCTCGACAAGAGCTGAAACGGTGCTAGGTAGGGCGATTGCCACGCTGCCATGCCCGCGGGAGGAGGTGGTAGTTGCTACCAAGGTGGGGCGGTACGGGCAGGACGTGTTTGACTTCAGTGTTCCATGCCCCACCCCCCTCAATCTCTTTCTCCCTCCCCCTTCCCCTCTCCACCGTCCAGGTTCTACGGCTCCACACGAGCTGAGACAGTGTTAGGGCGTGCCATTGCCACGCTGCCATGCCCGCGGGAGGAGGTGGTAGTTGCTACCAAGGTGGGGCGGTACGGGCAGGACGTGTTTGACTTCAGCGCGGATCGGATCAGGAGGAGCGTGGAGGAGAGCTGTGCCAGGCTGCAAACTCCTTACCTGGATATCGTGCAGTGCCACGACATTGAATTTGGATCCTTGGATCAGGTGAGAGATGGACAGTGCGGATCAGGTCAGAAGAAGCGTGGAGGAGAGCTGTTCCAGGCTGCAAATGCTGTATCCGGACATTGTTCAGTGCTACTCCCACTGCTCCCTTGTTCCCATCTGACATCTCTCCACCCATCAATCATGCCATCAAACCCCCTCCCCCCTCTCTCCCCCTTTTCCTCCGCTCCTCCCCATCCCCAGATCGTGAATGAGACAATCCCGGCCCTCCAGGAGCTGAAAGCGGCCGGCAAGATCCGATTCATCGGCATCACAGGCCTCCCTCTCTCCGTCTACCAATCCGTTCTCCCCCGCCTGCCTCCCGCCTCGCTCGATCTCATCCTCTCCTACTGCCACTACTCACTCAACGACACGACTCTCCAGCCACTGCTGCCGTGGCTGCAGCAACAGGGCGTGGGGGTAATCAGCGCGTCTCCCCTCTCCATGGGCCTGCTCACCCCCCAGGGCCCCCCTTCCTGGCACCCAGCACCCCAGGAACTGAAGGTGAGTGGGTCTATGTGTCCGGCCCCAACCCTCTGCCACCTCTACTAGCCGCTGCTTTCTTTGTGGCTGCAGCAGCAGGGCGTGGGGGTAATCAGCGCATCGCCCCTCTCCATGGGCCTGCTCACTCCCCAGGGCCCCCCTTCCTGGCACCCCGCACCCCAGCCCCTCAAGGTGAGTGGATCTATGTGTCCGGTTCTGGCCCTATGCGATCCCAGCCCTATCCCACCTCTAGTAGCAGCTGCTGCCGTGGCTGCAGCAGCAGGGCGTGGGGGTAATCAGTGCCTCGCTGCTATCAATGGCGATTTTTGAGTCGACTCAAAAATCGCCTCTTCACACACGGGGTAATCAGTGCCTCGCCGCTATCAATGGGCTTGCTCACTCCCCAGGGTCCTCCCGCTTGGCACCCTGCACCACCATGCTACCTCTCTACGAGCTGCTCTCTCTCTCTCTCTCTCTCTCTCTCTCTCTCTCTCTCTCTCTCTCTCTCTCTCTCTCTCTCTCTCTCTCTCAAGCGGTCCGTGTATTAGATCCGAGCAAGGTACAGACATGCACAAGGATATAAGAAGCAATGCATCTCAGCTTCTAAAACCCCCACATCCTACCTACCCTCCTTCACCCTCTAAGGCAGCTCCAATGCCGGCTCCAGGATGGCAAGGCAGTCCCCGAGGGACATTCCTTCGCCCGGCAGCGCCACAGGTGGGTTCTCCACCTGAGCCGCGTAGTTGCACTTCGTCATGAAGCTCACTGACTGCGCCCGCTGCAGCGCCACGGACCACCGCTGGCGGAACTGGTGCAGCAGCTTTGTTGCCTGGTAAGATGAGGGGGCCGCGTTGAAGAGCCGGCGCGCGCCGGTGTCGGCCAGAAGTTTGAGGAATTGAGGGACCTCCGCGCAAGGACAGCCATAGGTATCAACGGCAAGGGGGAAGAACCCGACCCACGAGGCCGTTGAGCCCTCGTAGTCGGAGATCTTCTTCTCCGCCGCCTCCCTGGCCGCCCATCCCCTGCCCTTGACCGCGTTGGGATCCCGTGTGCTGATGGGGTCCGTGATGGTCACGTCCCCTATCCACACCGCTCCTGAGGACTTGTCCCGGATCGCAATGTCGGCTTTCTTCAGAGTGACGGGGCAGAACGTAGTCGTTTCGCTGTGAGTCATGAAGTCAGCGTCGGCGGCCATGTGTACACACGCATCGCGCAACTCATTGTGCGTGTTGGTCCGCCCCTTCCCCGTGTCGCAGCGCAGCAGGTGGTTGGGCAGGCGCCTGTCAAGGATTGCCGTCTTATTGCGGCAGTCACACGCGCCAGGTGCCGAGGAGGGTAACCCCATCCTGAACTGCAGCGCATGCGCAAAGTGAGCCGGGGCAAGCCGCAGTGTCGAGTTGAAGGGGACCGCGTTGAGCCAGTCTCCTGCCCCATACCCTGAGAGTGAAAGCATGCGCTGAGTGTGCCCGCTTAGTGGGTTGAGTGGCATGATGCGTGTAGCCTGCACCTGCTCCGCGTAGCGCAGTCCGTGTACCGCGATTGCCAGCCCATGCTGCAGCTTGGCGCCCTTGGGATTAGCCCGATCGCTCTGCAGCAGCTCCTTCCCATCGTCCGGCAGTGACTCCTCACACCTCTCCAACCAGTCAAAGAGCGGGGACGTGTTGATGAAGGGCCCCACCATCTGGACCCGCGTTTCCGCCAAGGCGCCGACGGCCGACTCATCAATGGAGGTGAGCAGGTGCTGCGCTTGCGTGTAGCTTGCAAGGAACCCAACACGACCCTCCACCGAAGGGTCTGTGAGTCCCAAACCACCGAGCGAGATGGGGAGTGACGCTTGCGCCCAGGTACGTGAAATCTCGGCCTCCCCCCGTGGGTGGCGAATGCCGCAGGCAGTCAGCAACGTCTCAAACAGCTTTTTACCCCAGTCTGACCACTCCTCGACTGGCAGGGCCGAAAGCGGCGTGGTGCGGGCGACGTAAGCGATCCGCCGTGAGATGCACCGTGAGAGCAGGAGGGAAGCCAGCTGCGGCTCCATCCGCGCGATTAAGGGCAGCGGCACTCCCATGGTGTCGAGGCTGGCACGTAGGAACGCGGCGGTTGCGTCGCTGCCACCGATGAAGCTGCCAAGCACCTTCACCCCATCTTCTGTGAAAGGTACGCCCACTGGAAGCGCTGCTCCCTGCTGGCCAGCCTGAGACCAGGCCGCGCACTTGGCTGGGTTGTGGCGCAGCCCGATCTCCCCGAGGTTTCCTGTGAAGTCCTCAAATGCCGCCGCGCCCGATCTCTCTCTCTCTCTCTCTCTCTCTCTCTCTCTCTCTCTCTCTCTCTCTCTCTCTCTCTCTCTCTCTCTCTCTCTCTCTCTCTCTCTCTCTCTCTCTCGAACGGTCCGTCGTATTAATATCATCAAGGTACACACAGGGTAAGGTAGCAAGCCATGCACAACAAAGCCACAGGTGCAGTCTCCTATCCAAACACCACTACAGCCGCCCCCTTTCCCTTCCGGCCCTAGTGGCCGGGGGGGTCCTCTATCAGTTGGTACAGCTGGCCCTCGCTCAGTGGAGTGAACGGTCCCTGCAGGCCTAGCGCGTCCGCGGTAAGAGCCTCGTGGGTCTTATCCCTGAGTGCGTTGGCTTGGGCTCTCTGCAAGGTCACGCTCCATCGCTGGCGGTACTCGGTAAGTAGTTTCGCCACCTCCCTCGACTTTGGGGAGGCGTTAAACCGCCGCTTTGCCGCTAGCTCCGCGCAGCTGCGAAGGAAATCCAGGACTCCAGGTGAGGGGTAGCCATAGGTCTCTACGGCCATGGCGTAGAAGCCCACCCACGGGCTCCGCCCGGCGTATTTTGTCTCCTTCTTGTCCGCTTGCATCCTAGCCGCCCATCCGGGGGCCTTACGCGCGTACTCGTCCTGGTGGGAGACGGGGTCTGTGACTGTGATGTCACAAATCCACACTGCACCGGTGTCGGGATGGCGGATAGAGATATCCGCTTTGAGGTTTTCGACCGGTGAATATGCCGTTGTCTCCTTGTGCACCGTGAATCCCGCTTCAGCCGCTATCTTCGCGCACTCGTCGCGCAGGGCATTGTGTGTGCCGATTCTCCCCCCCCCTTTCTCACACCGCATCAAGTGATTCGGCAAGCGATCGTCCGGGAAGGTGGTGCGGTATCGGCAATTGCAGCGTCTTGGCACAGGTAAGGGCAGTCCCAGGCGGAAGGATGCCGCGGTGGAGAACTGGGAGGGGCCGAGGCGGAGGGAAGAGATCAGGGGGATGGCGAGCAGCCAATCCCCCGCCCCCGGGCCTAAGAGGGACTGTAGTCTCTGTGTGTGGCCAAACAGTGGGTTCAGATCCATGTTCCGCGAGCTATCCAGCAGTCGGATGTAGCGCGCGGTGTGCACCGCGAGGGAGAGAGCTTGCTGCAGCTTTGGCCCGTTAGGCTTTTGCCTCCCAATTTGCAGGGCCTCTATTCCGTCTGGTGGCAGCTCGGCTTCCAGGGTTGCGAGGCGTCGTGGGAGCAGGGAGGTGGAATCGCCGTCAGCGTCCATCAGCGGCAGCAGTCCTGCTAGGGCCGGGTTTGCCGCGTCGCCGAAGGAGCGTAGCAGGTGGGAGGCTGCTACAACTGATGCCAGGTAAGCGAATCTCCCCTCCACCGCAGGGTTAGTAATGCCGAGGCCTCCTAGGGACGCAGGCAGCGCGGCTTGGTGCCAGGTTCTGTCCCTCTCTGCCCGGTCCCTAGGGACATTCGTGTGTGCCGCGGCCAGGTAGGTGTGGAGCAGATGTTCCCCCCAGGCCGACCATTCCTCCTGCGGAAGGGCTTCGGGGGGCGTGGCTCGGACCAGGAACGAGGCGCGGCGGCTCACGCAGCGGGTGAGTAGTAGCAGGCAGAGTTGGGGGTCCATCTGTGTGAGGAGCGCGAGAGGTTCGGCCGCTGCTGCGAGGCGCTCGCGAACTCTGGACGCGCAACCTGTGGGGGGGCCGATGGGGCTGCCTAGGACGCGGACTCCGTCTTGTGATATCGTGATGCCGGTAGGTAAGGTGGAGGGGTCGAGCGCAGCTGCGGACCACGCCTCACACTTCGAGGGGTTGTGGGCCAGCCCATGGAGTCGAAGGGCTTCCGTGAGGTGTGCAAAGGCTGCCGTGCAGTTGGCCGCCTCCCCCAGCAGGGTGATGTCATCTGCATACGCCAGAAACACCACCTCCGGATGTGCCGCCGCCGATTGGACGAGGCAGGGGTGGATGCTGGCTGCAAACAGCATGGGTCCTAGCGGGTCCCCCTGACGAACACCCCGCGCGCTCCTAAGGGGTTCTGCTCCGAAGTCATGGTCGAGGTAGAGCGCCGATGGGTTGCCGTAAGAGAAGCGAACGAGGGGCACTAAGGCCTCGAGGTCGGTGCCTTTCAAGCCCTCGAACACTGCCGCGCGCTCGACTGCATTGAAGGCGTTGGCCAGGTCTATCTGCAGCGCCGTCGCTCCTGGGAATTCCTCCAGGTAGGTGCGTGCTGTGTGAATTGCCGCCTCTATTCCTCCCGCGATTGCTACTCCGAACTGTAGCGGGGTGAAGTGCTCACGCGCCGCTGGTGCGGCTAGGAAAAGGGCCGCCTTGGCAACGAGGCGTAGTAGGCATTCGCCTACTGCTATCGGCCGCGTTCCACCGTTTGGTTTCGAGAAGGCGAGCAGTCGTGACGCTGTTAGGAGTTCCGCCACGTCCGCCGTCAGCTTTCCAGAGAGTGCCGTGTTGGTAAGTGCATGCAACTGCAGGAAAACGTCCCCGTTCCCAAGGGCCGCATCTCTGAGGTGCTCAAAGGTGGTGCCTGATGGCCCAGCCCCCACTCCGTTGGGACATTTTGCCAGCAGTCGCCTGAAGTCCCGGGCAGCGATGGCAGGGACGTTCTCTGGGGCGAAGTCGAGCACCCAGGAAGGTATGGCCGTGGCGGCGTCTGGGTGTCTGGCTTTGAGCGCGTTGAGTACTTCAGCGCTCGGCGTGCAGACTGGCGTGGCAGTCAGAGTCTGTAGTGATTTCGCCAGATTCCCCCGTTTCGCCAAGCCTTCGGCCCGCGAGAGCTTGCCAGTGTCGTCAGGTACGTGTCGTGGTTGAGGGTTGCTGGTAACCGCGTCAGCTGCCTCGTCGTACAGGTTGCGCCACTGTCCTTGGCGAAATCGTGTCAGCCTTGCACCCATGGCTTTCCAGTCAGGTGTGCGTGCTGACGAGGTGCGCAGCAGGATGCGCGGGAGGAACATCAGCAGCTTCCAGCCTGCGATGGAGTCCGGGTTTTTCGCCAGGTGTAGCAGTGGCGTCAGCAGGCATATCGCGAAGGATTCGCGAAGTGGGCGGGGTGGGTGGCGGGCAAGGGGTGGCTGTCTGCTGTCGCGTAGCGGGCAGATGTCCCAGTTGACGACGTCTGCGAAAAGGTCCAGACGGCCTGCTAGGTCGTCAGCGCTGATGATTGGGTTGGGGGTGGCGGGCGTTGGGGCCGTGGCATTGGCTGGAGCTGTGGTAACCGCATTGTTGGGGGCGGCTCGGTTCTGCCTCGCGGTCCGATTTCTGGGTATTGGAGTTGCAGATGCGGCTCGTCCTGGGGTTGGATTTTGGCCCGCTCCTTCGGCTGTGGCTCGGCTGGCAGGTTCGCCTCGGACAATGGGTCTGGCGAGCTCCTCTCCCCGAAGCAGAAGTTCCAACTCATCCTCGTCCTCCTCGGCTTCTGCACCCAACATCCCCTCTCTTTCAGGGTTAAAAGCGGGGTCACCCCCGTCACTTCCCTCATTCTCCACTTCCTCCTCTGCCTCCTCGCCAGGCGGATCCTCGCCGCCCTCTGCGCCGTTTCGTATCTGCCTTTCCGCGTTTCTCGCGTAGCCGCTTGCGCCGGTGCGGCGCCTGTTTGAAACCCGTGATCCACCTCCTCTTCGTCCTCGCTCGTTTCCCCTTCGTCCGCGGCGGCTGCCGCGTCCCACGCGTATTCCGCGCGTTGCTCTTCCCACAGCAGCTCCCTCGCGCTCAGTTTGCGGCGCCGCGGCCACTTCGTTGTCGCTTTGTCGGCGCGCTGGCGTCGGCTGCGGTACGATCGGGGGTGATGGACCCATCCGCGAGACGGGATCCGGAGCTGGAGGGATCCGCGGAGAGCGCGCTGCCGGAGCCTGCGCCTGCCGGGCCTCGTCCGCGCCTCCTCGCGCACCCCTCTGCAAGCGAGCCCGTCCGCCGCTTCGAGCGGGTGCAAACTCTTCCCCATCAGCCTGCCGCGCGCCCAACCTCGCCGGAGTATTCGTGGGCGCCTGCACGTGTTGCGTCGAACCGCCCGGACGGTCAGCCGCGGCAGGAGCGCGGGCGCTCGCCTCCACGTCAGCCTCCTCGGCAGCCCTCTCCTCGCCGCCCTTCCCCTGAGCATCGCGAACACTATCAGCGCGAGGGGGGGGATCAGCGCTCCCCCGCGCGTCCTCGCTCCCCTCGTCGCCCATCCCCTCGTGGTCGGGCAGGCCCGCGCTCACCCCGAGCGCGATCCCCCGCGCAACGCTCTCCGCGGCGATCTCCGGCGACGCGGGGAAGGGGGTCGCCTGGGCGTCGCTGGGATTCGGGTCGCCGCGAGCAGTCCTCTCCGCGTCCACATTCGGCTGGTTCCGGGGGGCGGCGTGGCCGGCGGAATCGGGGAGGGAATGGCCACCAGGGGGATCCTGCCCTCGATCGTGCCGCGGACACGTTCGTGGAGGTGGTGAGGCAGGCCCGGGCGAGTGGGGCGCCGACTCACGTCCACATTGAGGTGACCAACGGTCCCCCCTTCGCCGCGGACCCCAGCCAGGTTGCTCCGCTGCGCGCGCCGACGCTGCGCGAATATCAGCCCGCGCGTGAGGGGAGGGCTCAGTTCCGCACCCCCCGTTAGGTTCCCGGCTTCTCTGCGCCGCGCTTAACTGTTGGCCGGACTCCTGGCTGGCCGACGGCGTTTCCGCGCGAAGCGCTGACTGCACCTCCCCCCACTCGCGCGGGGAAAGACCCCATGCTGACCATGTGCCGGATTCTGAACCTGGCGGAGGCGTGCGAGGTGGTGGCGAACCTGCAGCTGGCGGTGTGTGGGGCCACGCGGAGCTTTCCGAGCAGTTTCGGTCCAGGATCCCGAGGATCCTGCGTGACTTTGGCAGAATCGCTCGAGTCGCCGTTGGCACCCGTGTCGGAAGCGCCCGCCGGGGTAGCTCCCTTAGCCCGTACTTTCCCCCGCCACGTGGGGGATCTTGTAGGGGCTGCTCAAGCCGGGACCCCCTTGGACACGCTCCAGTCGTCGGCGCATCTCCTTCTTGCGGTAACGGCGTGCATGCGCTCGATGCTTGAGGTGGAGGGGGCGGAGCCGTACACGGTGTAGGCCTCCGTCGCGTATAGAATTGCATGCCGTTCTCTCTTGTTTTGGCTCTGCTCCCTTGATTCCTTTGCGTGCGTGTACTTCCTGGTATAGCAGTCCACCGCCTTGTTCCTTGCCACCAGGAGCGCGCGGCCGAAGGCCGCGCTGGCGAGCGGCGGCGGCCGAAGGCCGCCGGCGCGAGCCGCCGAAAAAGAACTCCACACGAAATAATGAGGAGAAGGAGAGAGGAACAGCCCTTAAATAGCTCTGGAGGGCGGAGGGCAGATGGATGAGGCAGAGGGCAGAGGGCTAAGGGGTTTCCTCTCTCTCTCTCTCTCTCTCTCTCTCTCTCTCTCTCTCTCTCTCTCTCTCTCTCTCTCTCTCTCTCTCGCTCTCTCCGCCGAAAAAGAACTCCACACGAAATAATGAGGAGAAGGAGAGAGGAACAGCCCTTAAATAGCTCTGGAGGGCGGAGGGCAGATGGATGAGGCAGAGGGCAGAGGGCTAAGGGGTTTCCTCTCTCTCTCTCTCTCTCTCTCTCTCTCTCTCTCTCTCTCTCTCTCTCTCTCTCTCTCTCTCTCTCTCTCTCTCTCTCTCTCTCTCTCTCTCGCTCTCTCCGCCGAAAAAGAACTCCACACGAAATAATGAGGAGAAGGAGAGAGGAACAGCCCTTAAATAGCTCTGGAGGGCGGAGGGCAGATGGATGAGGCAGAGGGCAGAGGGCTAAGGGGTTTCCTCTCTCTCTCTCTCTCTCTCTCTCTCTCTCTCTCTCTCTCTCTCTCTCTCTCTCTCTCTCTCGCTCTCTCCGCCGAAAAAGAACTCCACACGAAATAATGAGGAGAAGGAGAGAGGAACAGCCCTTAAATAGCTCTGGAGGGCGGAGGGCAGATGGATGAGGCAGAGGGCAGAGGGCTAAGGGGTTTCCTCTCTCTCTCTCTCTCTCTCTCTCTCTCTCTCTCTCTCTCTCTCTCTCTCTCTCTCTCTCTCTCTCTCTCTCTCTCTCTCTCTCTCTCGCTCTCTCCGCCGAAAAAGAACTCCACACGAAATAATGAGGAGAAGGAGAGAGGAACAGCCCTTAAATAGCTCTGGAGGGCGGAGGGCAGATGGATGAGGCAGAGGGCAGAGGGCTAAGGGGTTTCCTCTCTCTCTCTCTCTCTCTCTCTCTCTCTCTCTCTCTCTCTCTCTCTCTCTCTCTCTCTCTCTCTCTCTCTCTCTCTCTCTCTCTCTCTCTCTCTCTCCGCCGAAAAAGAACTCCAGGGTTGACATACCCGTTTGTTTTCCCCATGGCCTTGCCCTGTCTTCCGCATTTCAGGATGCATGCAAGGCAGCGGCTCTTGCCTGTCAGCAGGGGGGGGAGCATGGCTGCCATGACTAAGCTACCACTTCCCACAGCTCTCAACCCTGCTGGCATCCTGAATTAAATTGCGCTTTCTCTTGTGCCATGCTCCTGGCCTCCAATCATCAGGATGCATGTCAGGCAAGGCGGCTGCACTCACCTGTCAGCAGCGAGGAACATCGCTGCTGCGGCTGGCCCTCCAGTTTGCAACGCTCAACCCAGCTATCGGCCTAACATGCGCCCTTGTTTGGTCGTGCCCGGTCTGATGTTTTCTTCTTCCCCTGTAATCAATGGATCCCCACATAGGAGGCATGGCGTAGCGTGGGTGGCAGCAGCTGTGTTTAGCAAAACGTTGTGTAGTTAGGTTTTGTGCTTGCTTGTGTAGAGATCGAAGTTCTTACCTATTCGATCTCTACTAGCTTAAGCTCAGCCTAGAGAAGATTAAGATTAGATACTTGTTAAGGACGAGTCACCTGTTGGATCCAGGTCGAACCTGTTCTTCTTTGGTCGTGCCCGGTCTTATGTTTTCTTCTTCCCCTGTAATCAAACCATCAGGATGCATGCAAGGCAGTGGCGCTGGCCTGTCAGCAGCGAGGAGCATTGCTGCCCCATCTGGCCCTCCAGTTTGCACCGCTCTCAACCCAGCTATCCGCTAACATACCTGCTGTCTTTTCCCATTACCGTGCCTGTATGTAACCATCAGGATGCATGCAAGGCGGCAGCCGCCTGTCAGCAGAGGGGAGCATCGCTGCCCCGGCTGGCCCCCCCTCTTGCACTACTCGCAACCCTCTATCGGCCTAACCTGCCTCCTTGTTCGGTCGTGCCCGGTCGTATGTTTTCTACTTCCCCTGTAATTTTACCATCAGGATGCATGCAAGGCGGCAGCACTGGCCTGTCAGCAGCGGGGAGCATCGCTGCCCCGGCTGGCCCTGCAGTTCGCAACGCTCAACCCAGCCATCACGACGACGCTTGTGGGCATGAGCACGGTGCAGCAGGTGAGGGGGGGAGCGTTCAAAGGTGGCTGTATGGCTAGCAGAGGCGTGGTGTTGTGTGCATTGCGGCAAGCAGGGAGACTGATTGCCCGGTCTGGCCCTGCAGTTTGCAACGCTCAACCCAGCCATCACGACGACGCTTGTGGGCATGAGCATGGTGCAGCAGGTGAGGGGGGGAGCGTTCAAAGGTGGCTGTATGGCTAGCAGAGGCGTGGTGTTGTGTGCATTGCGGCAGGCAGGGAGACTGATTGCCCGGTCTGGCCCTGCAGTTCGCAACTCTCAACCCAGCCATCACGACGACGCTTGTGGGCATGAGCACAGTGCAGCAGGTGAGGGGGGAGAAGCATTCAATGTATCGTTATGTGATGCTCATCAAACGGTTGTTGAGTGATTAGCAAAGGTGTGGTGTGTGCATAGCAGCAGAGAGACTAAGTGCCCCGACTGGCCCTCCAGTTGGTATTGTTGTGTGAGGAGCGTCAGAATGTTGTCGAGTGATTAGCAAAGGTGTGGTGTGTGCATAGCAGCAGAGAGACTAAGTGCCCCGACTGGCCCTCCAGTTGGTATTGTTGTGTGAGGAGCGTCAGAATGTTGTTGAGTGATTAGCAAAGGTGTGGTGTGTGCATAGCAGCCGAGAGACTAAGTGCCCCGACTGGCCCTCCAGTTGGTATTGTTGTGTGAGGAGCGTCAGAATGTTGTTGAGTGAGTAGCAAAGGTGTGGTGTGTGCATAGCAGCAGAGAGACTAAGTGCCCCGACTGGCCCTCCAGTTGGTATTGTTGTGTGAGGAGCGTCAGAATGTTGTTGAGTGAGTAGCAAAGGTGTGGTGTGTGCATAGCAGCAGAGAGACTAAGTGCCCCGACTGGCCCTCCAGTTGGTATTGTTGTGTGAGGAGCGTCAGAATGTTGTTGAGTGATTAGCAAAGGTGTGGTGTGTGCATAGCAGCAGAGAGACTAAGTACTCCGACTGGCCCTCCAGTTGGTATTGTTGTGTGAGGAGCGTCAGAATGTTGTCGAGTGATTAGCAAAGGTGTGGTGTGTGCATAGCAGCAGAGAGACTAAGTGCCCCGACTGGCCCTCCAGTTGGTATTGTTGTGTGAGGAGCGTCAGAATGTTGTTGAGTGAGTAGCAAAGGTGTGGTGTGTGCATAGCAGCAGAGAGACTAAGTGCCCCGACTGGCCCTCCAGTTGGTATTGTTGTGTGAGGAGCGTCAGAATGTTGTTGAGTGATTAGCAAAGGTGTGGTGTGTGCATAGCAGCAGAGAGACTAAGTACTCCGACTGGCCCTCCAGTTGGTATTGTTGTGTGAGGAGCGTCAGAATGTTGTTGAGTGATTATCTAAGGTGTGGTGTGTGCATAGCAGCAGAGAGACTAAGGGCCCCGACTGGCCCTCCAATTGGTATTGTTGTGTGAGGAGCGTCAGAATGTTGTTGAGTGATTAGCAAAGGTGTGGTGTGTGCATAGCAGCAGAGAGACTAAGTGCCCCGACTGGCCCTCCAATTGGTATTGTTGTGCGAGGAGCGTCAGAATGTTGTTGAATGATTAGCAAAGGTGTGGTGTGTGCATAGCAGCAGAGAGACTAAGTACCCCGACTGGCCCTCCAGTTGGTATTGTTGTGTGAGGAGCATCAGAATGTTGTTGAGTGATTAGCAAAGGTGTGGTGTGTGCATAGCAGCAGAGAGACTAAGTGCCCCGACTGGCCCTCCAGTTGGTATTGTTGTGTGAGGAGCATCAGAATGTTGTTGAGTGATTAGCAAAGGTGTGGTGTGTGCATAGCAGCAGAGAGACTAAGTGCCCCGACTGGCCCTCCAGTTGGTATTGTTGTGTGAGGAGCGTCAGAATGTTGTCGAGTGATTAGCAAAGGTGTGGTGTGTGCATAGCAGCAGAGAGACTAAGTGCCCCGACTGGCCCTCCAGTTGGTATTGTTGTGTGAGGAGCGTCAGAATGTTGTCGAGTGATTAGCAAAGGTGTGGTGTGTGCATAGCAGCAGAGAGACTAAGTGCCCCGACTGGCCCTCCAATTGGTATTGTTGTGCGAGGAGCGTCAGAATGTTGTTGAATGATTAGCAAAGGTGTGGTGTGTGCATAGCAGCAGAGAGACTAAGTACCCCGACTGGCCCTCCAGTTGGTATTGTTGTGTGAGGAGCATCAGAATGTTGTTGAGTGATTAGCAAAGGTGTGGTGTGTGCATAGCAGCAGAGAGACTAAGTGCCCCGACTGGCCCTCCAATTGGTATTGTTGTGTGAGGAGCGTCAGAATGTTGTTGAGTGATTACCAAAGGTGTGGTGTGTGCATAGCAGCAGAGAGACTAAGTGCCCCGACTGGCCCTCCAATTGGTATTGTTGTGCGAGGAGCGTCAGAATGTTGTTGAATGATTAGCAAAGGTGTGGTGTGTGCATAGCAGCAGAGAGACGAAGTACCCCGACTGGCCCTCCAGTTGGTATTGTTGTGTGAGGAGCATCAGAATGTTGTTGAGTGATTAGCAAAGGTGTGGTGTGTGCATAGCAGCAGAGAGACTAAGTACCCTGACTGGCCCTCCAGTTGGTATTGTTGTGTGAGGAGCGTCAGAATGTTGTTGAGTGATTAGCAAAGGTGTGGTGTGTGCATAGCAGCAGAGAGACTAAGTGGCCCGACTGGCCCTCCAATTGGTATTGTTGTGCGAGGAGCGTCAGAATGTTGTTGAATGATTAGCAAAGGTGTGGTGTGTGCATAGCAGCAGAGAGACTAAGTACCCCGACTGGCCCTCCAGTTGGTATTGTTGTGTGAGGAGCATCAGAATGTTGTTGAGTGATTAGCAAAGGTGTGGTGTGTGCATAGCAGCAGAGAGACTAAGTGCCCCGACTGGCCCTCCAGTTGGTATTGTTGTGTGAGGAGCATCAGAATGTTGTTGAGTGATTAGCAAAGGTGTGGTGTGTGCATAGCAGCAGAGAGACTAAGTACCCTGACTGGCCCTCCAGTTGGTATTGTTGTGTGAGGAGCGTCAGAATGTTGTTGAGTGATTAGCAAAGGTGTGGTGTGTGCATAGGAGCAGAGAGACTAAGTACTCCGACTGGTCCTCCAGTTGGTATTGTTGTGTGAGGAGCGTCAGAATTTTGTTGAGTGATTAGCAAAGGTGTGGTGTGTGCATAGCAGCAGAGAGACTAAGTGGCCCGACTGGCCCTCCAATTGGTATTGTTGTGCGAGGAGCGTCAGAATGTTGTTGAATGATTAGCAAAGGTGTGGTGTATGCATAGCAGCAGAGAGACTAAGTACCCCGACTGGCCCTCCAGTTGGTATTGTTGTGTGAGGAGCGTCAGAATGTTGTTGAGTGATTAGCAAAGGTGTGGTGTGTGCATAGCAGCAGAGAGATTAAGTACCCCGACTGGCCCTCCAGTTGGTATTGTTGTGTGAGGAGCGTCAGAATGTTGTCGAGTGATTAGCAAAGGTGTGGTGTGTGCATAGCAGCAGAGAGACTAAGTGCCCCGACTGGCCCTCCAGTTGGTATTGTTGTGTGAGGAGCGTCAGAATGTTGTCGAGTGATTAGCAAAGGTGTGGTGTGTGCATAGCAGCAGAGAGACTAAGTGCCCCGACTGGCCCTCCAGTTGGTATTGTTGTGTGAGGAGCGTCAGAATGTTGTCGAGTGATTAGCAAAGGTGTGGTGTGTGCATAGCAGCAGAGAGACTAAGTACCCCGACTGGCCCTCCAGTTGGTATTGTTGTGTGAGGAGCGTCAGAATGTTGTTGAGTGATTAGCAAAGGTGTGGTGTGTGCATAGCAGCAGAGAGATTGAGTACCCCGACTGGCCCTCCAGTTGGTATTGTTGTGTGAGGAGCGTCAGAATGTTGTCGAGTGATTAGCAAAGGTGTGGTGTGTGCATAGCAGCAGAGAGATTAAGTACCCCGACTGGCCCTCCAGTTGGTATTGTTGTGTGAGGAGCGTCAGAATGTTGTCGAGTGATTAGCAAAGGTGTGGTGTGTGCATAGCAGCAGAGAGACTAAGTACTCCGACTGGCCCTCCAGTTGGTATTGTTGTGTGAGGAGCGTCAGAATGTTGTCGAGTGATTAGCAAAGGTGTGGTGTGTGCATAGCAGCAGAGAGACTAAGTGCCCCGACTGGCCCTCCAGTTGGTATTGTTGTGTGAGGAGCGTCAGAATGTTGTCGAGTGATTAGCAAAGGTGTGGTGTGTGCATAGCAGCAGAGAGACTAAGTACCCCGACTGGCCCTCCAGTTGGTATTGTTGTGTGAGGAGCGTCAGAATGTTGTCGAGTGATTAGCAAAGGTGTGGTGTGTGCATAGCAGCAGAGAGACTAAGTACTCCGACTGGCCCTCCAGTTGGTATTGTTGTGTGAGGAGCGTCAGAATGTTGTCGAGTGATTAGCAAAGGTGTGGTGTGTGCATAGCAGCAGAGAGACTAAGTACTCCGACTGGCCCTCCAGTTGGTATTGTTGTGTGAGGAGCGTCAGAATGTTGTCGAGTGATTAGCAAAGGTGTGGTGTGTGCATAGCAGCAGAGAGACTAAGTGCCCCGACTGGCCCTCCAGTTGGTATTGTTGTGTGAGGAGCGTCAGAATGTTGTTGAGTGATTAGCAAAGGTGTGGTGTGTGCATAGCAGCAGAGAGACTAAGTGCCCCGACTGGCCCTCCAGTTGGTATTGTTGTGTGAGGAGCGTCAGAATGTTGTTGAGTGATTAGCAAACGTGTGGTGTGTGCACAGCAGCAGAGAGACTAAGTGCCCCGACTGGCCCTCCAGTTGGTATTGTTGTGTGAGGAGCGTCAGAATGTTGTTGAGTGAGTAGCAAAGGTGTGGTGTGTGCATAGCAGCAGAGAGACTAAGTGCCCCGACTGGCCCTCCAGTTGGTATTGTTGTGGGAGGAGCGTCAGAATGTTGTTGAGTGATTAGCAAAGGTGTGGTGTGTGCATAGCAGCAGAGAGATTAAGTACCCCGACTGGCCCTCCAGTTGGTATTGTTGTGTGAGGAGCGTCAGAATGTTGTCGAGTGATTAGCAAAGGTGTGGTGTGTGCATAGCAGCAGAGAG